TTGTCTGGTGAAAAATGTATATTGATTGATGGGGGACAAAAAATCTAGTTCTTGATATTTGTATAATGAAAATGAAAAATCACAGAAAAGCATTGTTCTAGAAGCAGTTCATGTCTCATTTCTCTAGACTGGTAAGGTGGGTGGTAATTTTTGAATTTGAAAACTATGCTGTGGTCATGAATGCTCTGCGCAAGCTTTTTATCCTGTATTCATTGTGTTGCAAAAAAAGCTGTGGTTCTAATATTACATAAAAACAAAAAAATAAACTGCAACAGCTCCCAGATTTTATTCTGTGAACAGCAAAATGTGTATTAATGTACCTTTAAACCCATGTTTTTGCAAAACACATTAAGGGATTATTTTATTCATGTCTTTTGTTATTCTGTTAATGTAAGTGTTATTGTTGGTGACTGTCGCTGGCGTCTTGTCACCAGAATGGTAAATGCAAGGCATGCTCCAACATCATATGTTTTAAATCCACTAAGGCATATGGTCACCTCCCCCCCTTTCTATATCTATTAGCTGGGATCACAATGTTTATTAGCTTTGCAGCCAGTGCACGTGAGTTGGAGAAGCAAGGACAGCGTTGTTCTTTGTTGCCTGGTTTTCCTATTGTATAAGAGAGTGCGTTCAATGTGTCTACATTTTATGTCTCTGTATTTTGTATTGGGCAGACTAGATGGGCCAAACGCTTCTTATCTGCCATCACATTCTGTGTTTCTATGTATGGAAATGGTAACCCCATTTATTGTCAATATACATGCTTTGTATGGGGACATATTCTATTTTGTAGCAGACATGATTTGATGAGTAATGTGTTACTCACAATCCTCATAGAGAAAGAGTTTAGAGTTCCTTTGAATGTGCAGACATGTAAGATCAGATACAAAATCCTCATGTCTTCAAATTCAAAACTGTATATAAAGTTAATTTATTGTATATTCATGTATTAAAAAAAAACATTTCTTGCCAGTACAAAAAAATGGGAGGAAAAATGCAAATGGTGCAACACGACCACGTCAGTCTGATTTAAAAAAAAAAAAAGTGCCCACAAGCTGTCAATAAACCCTTTAGCAAATTTACTTATTTGTAATAAGATTTTATTAGTAAATAGTACGGTAGTTTAATAGTAATTTTCCTTTTGTAAATAAGGTCTCGCTAGAAGAATGGACAGTATTGTCTTTATGTAAAGGAAATGGAAAATTATTCCAAGGTAGGTGGTTTCTGTAAAAATAATTATATTGATGGATTACTATAGTTAAAGGACCACTATAGTGCCAGGAAAACATACTCGTTTTCCTGGCACTATAGTGCCCTGAGGGTGCCCCCACCCTCAGGGACCCCCTCCCGCCCGGCTCTGGAAGGGGAAAAGGGGTAAAAACGTACCTTTTTCCAGCGCTGGGCGGGGAGCTCTCCTCCTTCTCTCCTCCTCCGTTCCTCCTCCTGGGCTGAATGCGCACGCGCGGCAAGAGCTGCGCGCGCATTCAGCCCGTCGCATAGGAAAGCATTTACAATGCTTTCCTATGGACGCTTACGTGCTCTCACTGTGAAAATCACAGTGAGAAGCACGCAAGCGCCTCTAGTGGCTGTCAATGAGACAGCTACTAGAGGATTAGGGGGAAGGCTTAACCCATTCATAATTATAGCAGTTTCTCTGAAACTGCTATAATTATGAAAAAATGGGTTAACCCTAGAAGGACCTGGCACCCAGACCACTTCATTAAGCTGAAGTGGTCTGGGTGCCTAGAGTTTTCCTTTAAGAGCAAAAAGACAATCTTGAAAGTTATCTAGGAGTTAATTTTACTTAACCCAGGGACACTGGAACTTCATGAGTGAATATACAGGAGCTGAAATTTTTAAACATTCATTAAGTTAGTTTCTAAACATATAGGTACTTCTGATTAGAAGATATTTCAATACCCTATTTGTGGGGGTTTTGCATTTATTGCAAAGACCTCCAATGTCACATGTCTGCTTCCAACATTTAATGGGTGAGGGGGAAAGATGGTATATGTATCTGAATCGTTCTCTCCTCAGTGCTGCCATGTTCCTCTTCACCTCTGCTTTAACCCTACAGGACCCCATGTTGGGTACTCAGGTATGTCGGATATGTGCAACAATTAAAGAAGGGGGACTATGGAAAATTGTACAGAAGTCCCCAGAATCCTCCATAGACAAGCCCTGCAGCACTGAAACCTATTTCCAAAAATAAAGAGACACATACTCCAATGGCTGTAGTATGTTAATCAGAAAAAGAATCTTAGTGTTTCTAAAATATTACAAATCATTTTTTCCCACTGTCACGAAGTATAACCCTAACATGCAGAGTGTAAGATAGCAATTTGCTGACAAAGGAAAATAAACATATTACCAGGCCTTAGAGTGGCCAGATTTAACATTAGTCAGAGTAAAGCGTAGTTGAACGGAGAGACAGCGAAAACAAGAACTAGCTAAAGTCGGGCAAATAAAACAGGCTAGGATTAAAGAGAAACTTAGAGTCAGGAAGCAAAGCCAAGGTCAATAGCAGAATACAATACAATACGAGAACTTAAGGAAAGCACTAAAGGGTACTGGGAACAGAAACCACAATAGAACACAGTATCTAGGGCCAGGTAAGTTTAAATAATACTGGGGTTCATTTGATTGGTCCACCTCATGCCTGCATCCCAAAACATGCATGAATGGGGGCGCTGGAATGATGTGGGCCAATGGGAGCTGACTGCAAGGTTAGGCTTCCATTTTCTTTTCCCCTTTTGTTATGGGCAAATGCAAATATTACACATTTTAGAATGAAATATTGTATTTCTTAAACTGTGTACTTTGTCTTTAAGAGATATTGCAAATTGACAAGGTGTTAGAAATGGAACATATTGTTTTTCATAACTGTTTCTTTAAGCAATAACCTCAGTGCATAATATGTTTGCGCCATTTTGTCCCAGACGAATTACAATAACAATAATGCATAAACAAGCTTCAAGGCTATACTACGACTCTTTCAGTACACAATACACTGTGGTAACCCCAAGTTAATGGAACTTCCCCAAATCCAGGAATCTCCCACGAGTGTACACTTATGTCTTAGTATAAACAACAGATAAGCTATTCAGACTTTAAGATGCCATCTTGAACTAAGTCAGGAAAATTTCCATGACGTATGCACCCTTTAGTTATGGCCTTGTATGTTTGCCAAGTTAAGGGAGGTCCTAAAATGAATAAAGTAAAAGAAGTGTTACTTTTTCATATTTGAACTACGGTAACCTTAAAATGGAGACACCTAAGGTATAAATAGGTGTACTTTTAAATGTTAAGACACAGAGGAGAGGCTTGGAGACAGACGCTGCTTCATCTTAAAATGACAGAGAGGCTGACATGATGACATGTTCAGAAGGGTATGTTAACCTATTAATGATATTTGCAAGCATTTAGTTTAATCTTATAAACTCTGCTATAATGAATTTTATATTTATATTTTTATATAATAAATATCCAAAAAGACAAAACTATTGCTTCCAAGACAATCCTTATTTTATAATGTATTCTCAATTATTTATATATGTTAAATAGAGGATCTATTACTAACTATATAAAATGATGGCTAAGATATCTGTATGGTTAGCCCTACTAAGTTCTATGCTTTAAGACATTATAGTGGTAAATAAGGGAACCACCTGCGGTTACACTTTAAAAACGTGCTTGTGACACGAGCAGAACATTTGGCGAGCACGGCCCACCAGGAGTGTTCGAGCCGCATGCGGCTCACCTGAAGGCAGGAGTGCTTGAGCAGAGAACTCTTGCCGTCACGAGAACCAGGTAAGTGCCGCTACACCCACTTAAAAACTGGATGGCAATGTCTCAAGAGCCCCTATGGAGAATCCTCCACCAAATGACAGACAGACATTTCACAAATCTCTCTCGAATACCTATTTCCATTCACAAACACCACCAAATACCCCTAACCCCCTTTTACCCCTTAAGGACCAAACTTCTGGAATAAAAGGGAATCATGACATGTCACACATGTCATGTGTCCTTAAGGGGTTAAAGGAAAATAATAAGCCATCTATTACTGTATATTGCACTGTGATATTGTTTAGTTATTTTCTGGTGTGCCGGGTTTCACTTAAAATGTGTCTTAGATTAAGCCTAGATACTATAAGGATCGGTATTATACTAGCTAGCCTTTTCTTGTACATACTTTCTGTTTTGGTCTACATTTTGCAAGTCTGATCCACTTTTTTTTCGTGATACAAGAGGCGAGGCAATTATATTTACCTCTTCCTCAGCATCACAATAAAAACAGTCATGTAGCATTTGTGGGATTTTTGCATAAAATGCAAATATCTGAAAATTAACAGTGCCGCTTTAATATTTTTATGACAGACAGATAGACATAAAAAGAGACCTTTAGACAGACAGACAATAGCATGGTGTTGTGTGTGTAAATATGATGTGTACAAATATATATACATAACATAAAATCCAGCGCACTCACTTACTCACTAAACACCAACTTAAAAGCTCAGAAAATTTAATCGTTTTTTTAAACACCTGACTTTGGCAAAGATAATGGGGGTTTAGTTACAGTATATGATTACACATTGCATATAAATATATATAATAAAAAGAGAAAGAAAAGAGAAAGGGAAAGAAAGATAGATCTTAGTGAAGTGTTTGATCAGATATTGTGCTGGTAAAGAAAGGAGAGAAATGTCTCTTAACTATTAACTATAATTAACTGTTTCGTAGATGTATATGCAATAAAGTACTTATACCACTGATGTACGTTTGCACTACCAAATGTCTTTTTTTTGGGGTTGAGACTGTGTCTGATGGACAATACCAATAGGAGGTTTGATAAATGCTCACCTGCAGCTGCGTTTCTTCAGGAAGGAGTAACTTAAGTGATCAGCCTGATGAGTTCGTAGGAAGGAAACTGAACATGATGTCTTTTTACCCACATAAATGTGGCTTCTTATAGAAACTAGTGTATAGAGCAGCATGCTGAATGCTACATCTTAGGGAGGAGAATTACAAAATGTGAGTAGAAAACAAGATGGAAAAAAAAGAGCAAAAAAAACATAAATAGAAAAACAATATAAAAAAATAGCAATGAAAATGGTAATGGGATTATCATAGAGAAACTAATAATATTAATGGGGTTCTTTACTAATGTATTTAATAGTAATGGGGTTCTTTACTACTGTATTTGGGAACAATGTCCACCGGGCTGTTTTCAGCTGCTTTTTATTGGTTGAAACAAAACTATGGGCAACTACTGATAATAAATTGCTCTCTGTAGCAGCACTGGAAGAATGTAATGGAGGTATTTTGCAGGGTTTTTATAGAATTACATTTTGCAATCAAAGAAACTAATGTAATGGCCATGGTCAGCTTCGTAAACAAAAACAAACTGCTGTCATCAATAGAACTTATAAAAGGAGAAAACAAAACGTAAGAATGTTAGATATATGCTCCTGAGGTATGAAAATTAAGGAATATCAATAAAATTACAAATAATATTAAATATTAGGTTTATCTGATTACATAAGCCTTTTTGAAAATTATACAGAAAAACAATGTTAATATTAAAATGTTTAATATGATGTGTAATTTCCCTGTATTAAGTGCAAAAAAACCATTTCCACATTTAAAAAAAACAAAACATTTTTTTTATCAATCTTTCTTTTATTATGGCAATTTAGTCACAGGATACAGAATAAAGAGAGGAGTTATTACAAAGTAACACAATATAAAGGTATTGGTGTGATTTGGAGTACACTCCCAAGAAAGACTGCCTAATTTTTTTATAATAAGTGAACATAACAAAACAAGCTAGATTTAACTGTTGCGTAAGGATAAATGTGCTTCTACATTAGGTATCATCATGCGAGGTAACAATAGAATAGTGTCATACGCGTTATGTAGATAAGTCATGCTTGGGTAGTTAGAGATACATTTCGATGGAGTTCTATAAAATCAGAACTGGTGCACATAAACTACCATGAAACAACACAAGTATGTAGTAATAATAAAGAAAGGAACAGTATCTGTATACAACTTGCTAGGTGCGATGTGATACCACTGGGGCCATCTATTTGAGCTTAACAAATTTATAACAGCAAATGTTGACTGAATATGTGTAAATTATGCAGTTAAGGTAGAAACCACTGGACTATGCTTCAGTTTAATATGGCTGTACCATATGGCTGTACCTAGCTACGTGTGATAGCAAACAAATGGATAGCAAACTAATAAAGAATTGCAGGCACTTCAAACATGACATAGGTATGCTAGATTTATTCTCTAATCCCCCCGAATAATTATGAGGCAAGCTGTCTATTTAGTAAGTGTGTTGGGTGCCCTATCAGAGTCACAGGGAGGCTGTTAGGTGAAAGTTTACTTGGGAGCTCTCACAGGAGACCGAGTTCTTCGCTGTAGGGGGACGGCAGTGGATCTTGATGGTCTGTCGCCGCCTGCGGCGTTGGGTCCTCCATGTTTGTGTTTGATGCACTTGGAACATTTCCCTGTTGGTCTTCAGCCTGGGTGGGCCCCACGTGGTAAGTGTACTGCCATTGTGGAAGGAGCGCCATGGAGGGGCCCGCTCGTCTCCCGTCTCTGCTCTCTCCCTTCTGCCATAGCTGTCCCAAGGTGTGTTAGTAGCTTGCTGTGCCTGCTCCAATGTGTCTCTTGTGGTCGAGAGTTAGTTTCTAGCATGTCCACCACCTTGGGGTGGTCTGCCCCGTTCAGGGCCTGCATCAGTGTAAGTGTTGGAAGGCTGCAGACGGTAGAGGTTTTAGCAAGTGGGGACCGTGATAACCCCCACCGGTCCAAAGGGGGGGGGGGGGCAGCTTGGTGTCGGTTGGAGAACTGGGGGAATGGCCGTTTCACCCCAGCTCAAGCTCCAGTAGGCCTTTCATCCCCATGTCCAGGCGATTCAGCTTCGTACAAGCCTGTGTGAGGTGCCTCTGGGTTCACCGACTTCTGCCCCACAAGGTGAGCACCAATGAAGGTAAAGATTAGCGTGTGGCTCGCCGTTAGCCCCGGACCTTAGACGACAGGCGCAGGAGCCCAGACAAGATGAGCCCGAGCCGTTCGGCAGTCAGGCTCCGCCCCTCCACATTTTTAGTATTGCAATCTGGAATTAAAACTGTTTGGGGAATGTTTAACATCTGTTTTACGCTACGTATTGAAAACTTTGATGATACAAAATTTATTTTTTGTGATTAAAAAAGGTAACAAATAAGTAAAGACACAGACACATACAGACCCATTTACACACACAGAAGCTCATATACACAAAGACAAAATCATATATGTATACACAGGCTTACACACACAAACACATACGTGTGCACACACAGACTCATATACATACATACACACACATTCACAAACACACACATTCACAAATTCATGCACAAACCCTTAATTTTCATTTTATTTCATTTTTTGGAGGGGATGGAGGGTGTGAACCTCTCTTTTCTTACCTTTAAAGGGAGAGCTGCGGATGGGTGGACGACTGTTGGGATCAGTTTTTGTACTGATTGCACAGCTCCCTTCTGCTTTGTATATTGCACAATACCTTATCTTAGTCCCGCGGGCCCGTGAGGAGGTACCCAGTTGCCGACTCCTCCCGGCAACAGCGCAGCATGTCGGATGCCGGCTGTTTAACACATGCTCCCTTTTATGACGCAGCGCCACAAAAATTCAAAATATTTCACGCTCCTTGATATTTTTGGTGCGTGGATTTAAAGCAAAAGACGCTCCCCTATAAAAGAGCGCCTTTTGCTTTTGTTTAGTGCCCTATTGTGGTTTACTAGTTGTTCCCTCTAGTGCTATACTGATTCCTGTATGTGTTATTTGGTATTTGAATTGGCTTGTTTATTATTGACTTTTATGCTTTCTGGTATCCTAACTCGGCTTGGTTTCTCGTTTATCCTGTTTCCTGGTTTCCTGACTCGGCTACTCCTTATCGTTATCCTGATCGATGGTTTTGCTTGACTATTCTATCGCTATTCACATTAAACCTGGCCATTCTAAAGTCCGGTAATACGTTTTCTACTTTGGGTTACATTTTGCGTGTTCGGGTCACTTGTCATGACGGTATAGATAAGGGTGATGTCACTGCCCAGCTCTAGCATCTGGGGTTCGAAGAAGCTGGGTAATGAGTACAGAGAGATCCCACCTTTCAGAAAGGGACTGTCCTCAGACAACACCACCATACATGAAAATATTTATAACCCCACTTCAGGTTACATGAGCACAACTCTGGAATATCATTAAAGAATTGTGTGGCAGCCAGGGCCGGATTAACATAGGGGCTGAGGGAGCTGCAGCTCCAAGCCCAGGTCCATTTTTTTTTTACACACACTACTCTTAGGGATGCCAGGTATTTCTCATTTATTTCTTATGGTTGCCAAGTATTTCTCAGAAGTATTTCTCAGGTATTTGAGGCTGCCTAGCCGGTGCAAATGTCTGTCTCAGTAAAAAAACAGAGATTATTCTGCAATACCAGCGCTGGTCAGTAGGGGTCGCTGTTTGTATGGTGAGAGACAGGGATAAGAAGTTACAGCATCTCCCTCCCTGCCTCTCTCTACTCACTGATCCACGCGGGGAGCAGCTCTGCACAGAGAGTCCAGCCAGCAGCTCCGAGTCTGCGAGACATGGGGACGGTGAGAGACTTGGGGACGCTGAGACATTGAGACACTGGGAGACATAGGGACACTGGGGAACATGAGACACTAGGGGTACAGTGGCCCTATGTCTCCCAGTGGCCCCTAGTCTCTTAGTGTCCCCATGTCTCCCAGCCAGTGTCTCAGTGTCCTCATGTCTCCCAGTGTCCCTGGTGTCTCTCAGTGTCCTCATGTCTCCCAGTTTCTCTGGTGTCTCTCAGTGTCCCTAGTGTCTGTGACCCTAGTCTCCCAGAGTCCCCTAGTCTCTCAGTGTCCCTATGTAATTCAGTGTCCCCATGTCTCACAGTGTCCCAATGTCTCTAAGTGTCCCCTAGTGTCCTAGTGACCTCGGGACACTGGGAGACATGGGGACACAAACACTAGGGGACACTGGACGACATGGGGACACTGAGACACTAGGGGACACTGAGAGACATAGGAACACAGGGAGACTTGGGGACGCTGAGACAATGGGACACTAGGAGACATAGGGACACTGGGGAACATGGGGACCCTGAGACACTAGGGACACCATGGCCCCATGTCTCCCAGTGGCCCATAGTCTCTCAGTGTCCCCATGTCTTCCAGCCAGTGTCCCTAGTGTCTCAGTGTCCCCATGTCTCCCAGTGTCCCTGGTGTCTCCCAGTGTCCCTGGTGTCTCTCAGTGTCCCTAGTGTCTGTAACCCTAGTCTCCCAGAGTCCCCTAGTCTCTCAGTGTCCCTATGTATCTCAGTGTCCCCATGTCTCTCCCAGTGTCTCAGTGTCCCCATGTCTAACAGTGTCCCAATGTCTATAAGTGTCCCCTAGTGTCCTAGTGACATCGGGACACTGAGAGACATGGGGACATAGACTCTAAGGGACACTGGGAGACACAGGGATACAAACAGTAGGGGACACTGGGCGACATGAGGACACGGAGACACTAGGGGATACTGAGAGACATGGGAACACAGGGAGACATGGGGACACTGGACGACTTTGAGACCTGGGAAACATGGGGCACTCCCAGTGTCCCCATGTCTCCCAGCCAATGTCCCTAGTATCTCAGTATCGCCATGTCTCCCAGTGTCCCTGGTGTCTCTCAATGTCCGTAGTGTGCCAGTGTCCCTAGTGTCTCAGTGTTTTCTAGTCTCCCAAAGTCCCCTATTCTCCCAGTGTCTAAGTGTCCCAATGTCTCCCAGTGTCCCCATGTCTCCTAGTGTCTCAGTGTCCCCTAGTATAAAAGAAAAAATCTCAGGCACTCACTGTGATAGATTTAAGCAGGTTTTTTGGACACCACAACGTTTCAACCTGTACCCAGGTCTTTATCAAGTCTCCAGTGTCCCCTATGTATCACAGTGTCCCCTGCCCTGTGTATCAGAGTGTCTCAGTGCCCCATGTCTCCCAGTGTCCCTGGTGTATCTCAGTGTCCATAGTGTCTCAGTGTCCATAGTGTCTCAGTGTCCTTAGTGTCTCAGTGTTCCCTAGTCTCTCAGAATCCCCTAGTCTCTCAGTGTCCCCATGTCTCACAGCACCCCCAAGTGTCTCAGTGTCCCCTAGTATAAAAGAACAAAAATCTCAGGCACTCACTATGATAGATTTAAACAGGTTTTTTGGACACCGCAACGTTTCAACCTGTACCCAGGTCTTTATCAAGTCTCCAGTGTCCCCTATGTATCACAGTGTCCCCTGTGTATCAGAGTGTCTCAGTGCCCCATGTCTCCCAGTGTCCCTGGTGTATCTCAGTGTCCGTAGTGTCTCAGTGTCCTTAGTGTCTCAGTGTCCCCTAGTCTCTCAGAATCCCCTAGTCTCTCAGTGTCCCCATGTCTCACAGTGCCCCCAAGTGTCTCAGTGTCCCCTAGTATAAAAGAACAAAAATCTCAGGCACTCACTGATTTAAGCAGGTTTATTGGACATCGCAATGTTTTGACCTGTACCCAGTTCTTTATCAAGTCTCCAGTGTCCCCTATATGTATATCACAGTGTCCCCTATGTATCACAGTGTCTCAGTGCCCCATGTCTCCCAGTGTCCCCTCGTGTCTCAAAGTCACCCAGTGTCGCCATTTCTCCATGTCTCCCAGTGTCCCCAAGAGTCTCAGTGTCCCAAGGTCTCCCAGTGTTCCCTAGTATCTCAATGTCCCCTAGTGTCCTAGTGACATGGGGACACTGGGAGACATGGGGACACAGACACAAAGGGACTGGGAGACATGGGGACACGGATATGCCCCCTTTTTGTGTATGTTCACCCCTTTCAGTGGTTCTGGTTATGTGATTTGTGTCAGTGGCCCACCCTTTTACCCCATCTATAGACTTCCTGCTTTACTGGACACTGCTGTTAGGGGGATGGGTTTACTTGAAAGATGAAAATGTGAGATTTCTCATAGCTGCATCATGCGAGTTTCCCTCCAGCACTATCTCCATCAGATACATGACCCTTAGGAGGTAGGACTATTTTAGTGTTTTTGGTCCATAAGATTTTGTAATTAGGCCCATCATAATAATAATTGTCAGCACCAGGCCCACTGGGCTCTTAATCTGGCCCTGGTGGCAGCCTAGCAGGTGCTCAGATTGCCCTGATCAGGTGCTTGGGCTGCCCATAGATCAGAGACCATATTATTGGCCCATGATAGGGTACACATTTTCTGGGCAGGAGGCTGGCTTTCAACACATCTAATCTTTTCACAGAATATGTGAGCTGAAAAGGACACAGTTATTTGTTCCTAGCAGCATAAGATAAAAGGTGACAGGAGCATTTATCTGGAATGGAAGATTGTTTCTGTAACAATCTGCAATACAATACAAATACAGTACAAATATTTGTATTTGCTTTTCTTTGTTTAACATTTGCAGCACAATGTTATTATATATACCTTGAAAGTGTTAGGTATGTTATCTAAATCAATTGGTAAAATGTATGGCAATGGGATCAAATTAATGAAGGCGCTTTGGTTGCCACCAATTAGCAGTTGAATGGAAGTTTAAATAGGGCAGAGACAATCACATTTGTCCAGGGTTAGACATACGAAACATTTGGTTGAAGCAGCTGAATTTGAGTAGCCTTGTGCCATTTAACTGCTTTCAGGAGCTTAGTGGATAGAGCTTGTTTTTTTGTTTTGAACAATGTTTAGAAACAAAGGGGGAAAAGTCTCTTTGGCTTTAAATATTACTGAAAGGCGAACAAAGGGCATACTTGCTGTCAAGAAATGAAGAATAGTGCTTTACAGTGCATATGAAAACAAGACAGGACGTGGACAAAATAACAAAACGTTAAGGGTTATACAAGTGTCAATTGTTGGGAAATTAAAGAGAATGTCAAATGTTCTGTCAAAATAGCTGAACTAAAAACAGTCTCCAATTCATGTTTTTGGTTCGATCATTTTTGCCTAGTATTAAAAATCCATTTAAATTCACCTTAGGGCTTATTAATGAAACATCACATTATACCTGAATTGAAATTTGAATTTCACAATTTAGACCAACATGTCTTACCTGGAAAAATTCTCAAACTCAGCTTGAGTTACTACTTGCTATTGTACTCAAAATGTTGCCACTTGGAATTTAATTTGCGACAATTTGAAGTTTAGTGAATAACCTTGCTTCGGTGCCTGAAAATTCACAATCTGGGGAATAACCATAATAGTGATGGTTTGAAAAAAAAATTATGGTAGAAAAATCTAGACAAATCCAGCACTTTCAATGTTTAGATTTTTTTATAAATTGGATGAAATGATCTGGCTCTACTTGGCTCTAAGATTCTCCCATAGATTATATTAAAATGTATTATCAATAAGAAACAGTGTTGAATTTGATTAAGACTATTCTATCATGCGTGAGGACAGTGTTTGTACACAAATGATTTTGGTACAAAGCGGGTAGTACTTTGTTACACAATGCAACCTCTAAGAGATCAAGCTTGCTGGTGTGACACATTGAGTCTAGAACAGAGTGTCAAGAAGTTAAGTCCATGTGAACCTTCCTTCATCCTCTAATCCCACAGAATCCTTTTCAGTAAGCTTCTTCAAAAATATATTTATAAGTCACTCTTACTATTCCCTCCCACTACACAGGATTCCTCAGCTAATAGGATTTTGGGTAGCCCTACCAACCTCAGCTTCCTCAAGGATTGAAGGTCAGAACTATATAAGAGAGAGGGAGACAGGTCATAAGGACCTTGCTGTAGTCGGGGAGTACAAGAGAGCACACGCAACTGAACTCAAGCAAAAAGTGTGTCAAGGTTTGTATCAATAAATACATATTTGTTGATATTACCATCTTTGTATATGTATGTACTTGCTTCCAAGGGTATAAAAATTTACTTATAAGGTGCCAATGGATTGCAATGCTGTACAGTCGGGAAGTAAATATATTTGTGACTTGTGTAAACAAAGGGATATTCTAAATTAGGTAAATGTGATTGAATGTATATTTCGTCTTGCTTCACGTATACCGGTTTATACAGCATTAATGAGTTTATATTTTTAATAAATACATTTATTGGGGAATTGTACATATGAAATGGCCCACCAAGCTATTGGTAAATGACAGTAAGAAAATGAGCAGTTATCGTGATTGATTTTAGATACAAATTACTATATATTTTCTTAAAACTGATGGAGATGTAAAATAACAGATGACATTTGTATCTTGTAATACCTTTTTATTGGACAAAAATAATTTTGGAATGTCAAGCTTTCAGGAGATTCCCCCTTTATCAACTCTATAGAGAAATGCTTAGACTTGAGAAAAGAAGGATCACCTAAAAGCTTGCCATTACAAAATGTTGTTAGTCCAATAAAAAAGGTATTACACTATATGAATTTCATCTATTATTTTACATCTGCATCACTGGACTAATACGGCTACCATCTCTACTCTAAAACCAACTGAATATTAGAACTATATAAACATAGATTGTTACTGAAAATAAGAACCAGTCATCGAGTCTATCCATTATGATTTCTGTGTCTTCATTACTTTCTTATACTACAAAATATTTAACATGTTAGTGAGATTATTCTGTTTTATGGCTAGAGGCAATATGTCTCCCTTTTCTAATATGGAAGAGCAACTAAAATGCTGGATATTTGGGTCCTGTTCAGGTTGAGTGGGGACCTTCCAGAGAAATGGTGATGAGGTAGGCATGAAAGAAGATGGATAGAGCTATTTATTTTTAAACTGATAAATAGTTTTGATTAATCTACATGAGAAAATCTTGGAATTAGATATCAAGTGAACAAAAAAATAGGCAGCAAACATTACGTTGAAAAAGATGTAAGCTGTTATGGTGGAGCACTTAGTGAATTATTCTAATGTGATAATAATTTGTATAAATTTGCATAAATACCTTCTTAAAGTGCCAATCTTATAAAGTAATCTAGCAAACATTATGTGTACACTATTAGAAGGCATCATTGTATATTGGAGTCACATTCATTGCACAGGAATGTAGCATTGAAAGTCAGTATTTGTGGAACGGTGTTACCCTATGCTGCCATATTTGTAGCTTAGAGGGTTACTCCAAGTATCATAACCCCTACAGCCCACTGTAATGGTTATGATGTTTGGAGAACCTTTCCGACATTCCCTTGTAATGGGACAAACCTGGATACCTCTGGGTGCTCAGCCTTATGTCATGCCAAGTATCTTTCATCCAGCATCTGCTGAGCTGCAGAAGTTGGATGTCAATCCCGCCAGTCATTCATTGGCTGAAAGCGTCAGCCAATGAATAACCCTATGTGCATGGAATATGCCCAGAATTGACATTAGCCAGCCTAGAACTCTCTAGTCACTAGCCTAAATATCTCAGTATGTGTAGTGTTTCATGCTGAATCACTGCAAAAACAGATTCCATGTACTTTGACCACTTCAAAACACTGTAGTGGTCATGGTTCTTGGAGTAGCACTTTAAGCAGATCAATAGTGGTATGTGCCCTTATAATACATAATGTAATTTTATACAAAATTAAACATTGTATTCCTTACTTTGCCTATTTTAATTTATGACTTGTTAGATGTGTTAGAGCGTGAAACCCAAATTATTCATTTCTATAGAAAAAAAAACAAGGGTAGATTGTTTTGCTTGGAATGTGACTGTTGATGTGTCCAGATTATCCAAATAGTTATAAGCAAGACTTACTGGCATGATCGTTTTTCATTTGATCTGGCTCCATAATCTGCAATACCTTGCGTCGTTAACACTATTACGTAGTTCTGCATTTAGGTTAAAGAGATTTGAGTACCTAATTGACAGCTGGTTGCTTTTATGTAATTTGCTGTCTTAATGTGAAAGCCTTGTCTCAGTCTATCTTAATAAAATATTCTGATCCATATGCTGGTTCTTGACTAAACAAACCTCAAGATTCTGTTCTTTTTAACTTTGCTTTATATTTGGGCTATTTTGTAGTTGCCTTGAAGAAAGAAATATAATCTAAATCCCAATTTACTGTGCCACATTGAGAACAAATATTGAAAATGCCATGTGATATAAAGTTGGCTTTTTAATTTCAATACTGCTTTGGACCTAGTATCCTTTAAATATGCCACTTCTAAATAATACCACATATTATCATTACTTTAAAATATATGCATTATCTCGAATTAAGACATATTTCCAAACCAATATTGTTCTGGAATATAACATGGGTGAAATATTTATTCAGTTCATTTTCTCACAACTATAATATACTGCATTCTCTATCAAGCTTCTTAACTTCCTAATCATCTAAATTAGTACACACAAACTAGTGCTCCTCATAATCATCCTTCTGTGTGAGAATGGGAGCTCGTATCCTTCTCACACCTTCAGATACCATGCCTAATCCACCTTTAAAAGATATTGCATGCCTCATTGGCAGGGCTACCATCAGAAATTTGGGGTCCTCTTACAGCTCAAAGATTAAGCGCCAGGGGCAAGCCCTTGAGTATGCCCACAGGGCTTGTCCTGTGTCCGCCCACAGGGATGCAGTTTAAGTGTGTGTGTAAGGGATGCAGTGTGTGCGTAGTGGATTTAATGTGTATGAGGGATACAGTGTGAGTGTAGAGTAGATGTAGTGTGTGTATATACTGGATACAGTGCTTGTGTGTTTAAGGCATGAATTATGTGTATGTAAGGAATGCACTGTGTGTAGTACATACAGTGTGTGTGTGTAAGGGATACAGTGTGTGTGTAAAGTGGATGCAGTGTGTGTTTGTGTAAGGGATACGTTTGTGTGTGTAAAGTTAATGCAGTGTGTGTATCGAATGCAGTGTGAGTATAGTCAGTGCAGTGTGTTTGTGTGTGTATAGTGGAGTATGTGTAAGGGATACAGTGTTTATGTGTGCATGTGAACTTGTGGGATTGGATAGGGGCTATGATCCGTGGGGGGCAAGAGAGGAGAGTTTTAAAAATTACTATTTAAGGTTATACCTCCCTCCCATTGTGAGGGGACACTACATTCACTGATGTGTGGTGTTACTCTATAGCCTTCAGCTTAAACCTGCATCAGGTGCAAGATCTTGCAAACATTGTGTAGTAATAGACTTCTGCTGTAATAACCCGCAGCAACACTCTACCAAGCATACAAGGTCCAGCAAACTCGCTCATTAACTATGCATCAATTTCAAGTCTCACGGAATGTACGTTTTATTTAAAAAAAATATGATCATACATCACATACGCCTGCCACAACATCAATGTACCCCATTCTAGGCAGGTCCTACTCTAGCAACCTAATGCTTGCTCTTATAAGATTAATCCACTTGCTTGGGAATGGGGTGCATTGACATTGTGGCAGGCTTATGCAATGTATGATCATGTACTGTAACTAAACACCCATTAATTTGAGGGGAAATTAGGAGTTTTTAAATAAAACTATTACATTTTGTGAAACTTGAAATTGCTGTTTAGTGTATAACTATAAATAAATATATATATATTTGGGAGTCCAGGCCAACTCCTTGGTTTTGCACCCCTCCCTGTCACAGGTGCCTCATTCCAGGACCCTATTTAGCCTTGACTTGCAGAGAGTCTCAGAAGGAAGAATTTTTCCAAGTAAATGGATTAATCTCATAAGAGCAGGCCTGACAAGAATGGGCAGTGTGACCAGATCAACCATGTTTACAGGGACACTTATAAGTTTCTCATATTTATGAAAACTCATGAAAATGGTTGGCCTATTCTGCATTATTGCCAACTGCCTAATTGCTTAATTGCTGGGTTCTTCATTGCCTAATTGCTTAATCTGATATACCTTCTTCCGAATTCTACTTACTACAGGACTACCCTTTTCATGTGCTGCCCATCAATATGTTTGTGATATGTCCCAGTAAACATGGTGGATCTGGCCACCCTGAGGATGGGGTACATTGACGTTGTGGCAGGCTTATGCAATGCATAATTATATACTGTAACTAAACCGCCATCATTTTTTGGCCTAGGTGAGGTGTTTTTAAATAAAACTATTACAATCTGTGAGACTTGAAATTGCTGTTTAGTGAATGAACAAGTGCACTGGATCTTGTATGTTGTATGAATTGGCCTCGGCAGCACCCTTAGTATGCATGATCAGATGAGTGCAGTCCTCTTACATTAGGGTGTGTATATATATATATATACAAGAGCACCCTTGGTATTTTCACCGTATATTTAATGTAACTTCATCACTTCGACCCTCCTGGATCTTTATCAAGATCATATTTATATATATATATTTATATATATACATATAAGGATGCCAGGGTAGGGAGTTATGGTTTTGTAACCATCATAGTTTTTAAGGGCTAGACTGTACAGGTTACTGTTGTTTTTTGTGACATTTAGACTTTCTTCTTCATGTTGCATTAGCAACCACATCATATTCTCACAGCTATCTGAAAATGGATGTTTACTGCTCTTGGTATCTTGATTTCCCCCCGGTATTTACATGTGCAAATACCCTATGGAAAGGGTGCCCAAAAGGTAGATCCCCAGATGGTTTAACATACAGCTTTCAGGGGAGCCCAGAAGGTAGATCCCAGATGTTTTTAAACTACAGCTTCCATGATGCTTTGTCATTCTAAAGGCATGCAGTGCATCATGGGAGTTATAGTTCTACAACATCTGGGGATCTACCTCTTGGGCACCCCTGCCCTAGGTTCTTAGCTGCAACAGTCAAGAGAAAGAATACTATTGGTAGGTACACATATATTTTTGTACCTTTTGAATGATGCAACTGATCCCCTCCCCCCCAGATCTGGACCATCATTTTAAAATTATTGACTGCAAAAGTCTGCTACTCAGAAGCTGCTGCATGTGCCGTGGAATCATCAGGACTCTGTCAGTCTTAAAGGGACACTACTCCACTGGCCGAATTAAAAAAATTAAAATCACTGTTTATTAAACCCTAATTAAAACATGCATGTATTAAATTATGCATTTTGTCATTGGGGGTGTATCTAAAAACAGCTTGCAAAATCTTCAGATCTCTTGTCTGAATCCTTTGCAAGCCCTCCCTTCCCCAAGCCAGACTTTCTGTGGCTGTCCAATCACAGACTTCCAAATGCAGCTCAATGAGAAGCCTTTTCAAGACAGGCAGTCTGAGCAATTGTCTGCCTCTTGACTTTAGCTCCAGTGAGCTTAACGACCAGGAAGCAACCGAACCAGTTGTCTGAATGACAGCCAGGGGGCATAACATGGTGAATTAATAAAAGTGACAATTGCTATGGAAATCTGCAATTTTGTTTTTTAAATGGAAAAAAGAACATTCTCTTCACATAAAGCACTTCAGCAAAATAAAGTGCTTTAGTGGTCTGGAGTGTCCCTTTAAGCTTCTCTTTGACAGCTTTGATGTATTATTTGAAGATATTCACCTGGTAATAGTTAATTTTAATGGTTAATGGTTGCTCACAGTGAGGATATGTATTTTTTTAGACGGATTAATACATTTTGAAAACACTGGGAGAGCAGAACTTAATTTACGGATATACTGCCCTTTACTGGCCTCTCTGTACTTTCCCACAGAGTCATTCTTTCATGGATCACAATCATTATCAAACGCCTAGAGAATATCACTCCGAGTTAAGGTTTCATTAGCACCTGCTGTGCTCTGTGCCTGGCTATTCCTCTTCCTTTCTCTCCAATCAAATAACAAAGCAGTTTTACTTTGAGGTTCTCGTCTCTGTATGTCAGTGTGAGGTCTATAAACAGGGAACATTTCTCTGTCAAGCTTCTCATACCTTGCAACACATTAAAAGTAATTCCATTGAGACCCTGGTGGTTTCTTTCTGCTGCCTGCCATGTATATCATATAACTTTATATGCTTACTTACAGTTATCTCTGCCATGTAACATTCCGGTACTTTAACAGCAAGTTGTAATGGGCTGTGGGTGACACTTTTAGTATCTGAAAATATTATAGTATTCAAACTTAAGAATCAAGCAAACATATTTATAATGCTGCAATACACAATTTATAACAATATATGGAGAATTATTTATGGATTGCTTGCAGCTTCTGGCTGGTTGCTTGTGTGACAAATTGTTAAAATAATGTTCATTGGGAGTACAAAGCAAGAATTGGAAATACACATTTAACTAAAAATCTCAAGCACAATTTTCGGCTGGGTCAAGATTGATGACCTGGTTCCATTTTGAAAATCGAACATGGTTAATACTTAATATTACTTCATACCTCTGACTGGCAGTTTACGATATTTCACCATTGACACCCCTGACAGTTTTTCACCACTATTACAGGGTATGTACTTTTAAAAGAACCAGACTGACTAACAACGGAAATTGTATTAGTTTTGTGATGTATTGGGCTTTTTATCTGTCCTCCTCATCAATCTTGTTTAGTCTATTTTCTCCCTCTGAATAGCATATTTCTATATTCAAGGTACCCCAAACATGTATACATTTTATGCACATATGTGACCGTGTTATCTCTTCATCTAACGCGTATTCTCTTTTCTCAATGCTCCCATCACAGGGCAGAATTATGACACCTTGCTTTAACCTTAAAGTGTTACTCCATCCCTTTAAAGCTTTCACTTACCTGGAATTCAGTGCTGGATGAAGCTCTCGCTGCTTCCTTCCATGCCCTATCCAACATCAGACAAGGCCTTGTGCGGTCCATTAAAATGATTCTCATAGAGAAGCCTTTGATTTGGACAGTTCATCGGCTCAGAGCACATACAAGGCATTTGATCTAATGAGGGTAGGGGGAGAGGTAGTGGAGAGGGAGATTGGTAGGAAGGGTTGGAAATTTAATTTACAAAAAACACAATATTCAGGGGATAAGGAGGCAGGAGGGCTCAACTCAGGAAGGGAGAAGCTCAATACATCCATTGCCAAAATGCAGTGTGCCATGACTACAGATGTATTTTATGCACAGAATTGACATTAGGCAAAGTCACATTTCAAGCAGAAACATTGCACATGCCAATTCAAACCACCATGACCACTTCAAATCACTGAAATGGTCTTAGCGGTTGGAGTTTAACATTAACACCTATCCTAGCTTGCTTCCTTCACTGTGCTCAGAAATGATTTAGACATAATAAAGGGAGGAACTCCCGAAAGCTTATCACTACAAATTTCTGTTCCAATAAAAAAATGTATTAAAACATAATGTAATACTTCACTATTTTGCATCTATTACTGGACTAACAAACCAACTCAAATATCATGACCACATGTCTTTCTGTTATTTTGGGACATTTTAATTTAATTTAACGAGGTTAGCATTTAGCAACATCAAAACTGTAATACCGTCTTTCCCTGAAAATAAGACATATTAATTTGTCCCATGAAAAACAAGGTAGGGTTTATTTTCGGGGGATGTCTTATTTTGGGGGAAAATGTAAGCATGTGCTAGAAAGCAGGTCTACATTCGGGGGAATTCCCTCGAACATAGACAAGTTCACTAGGGCATTGAAACCCGCAAACCGCATGTGCGTGTAAACTTTCCCAAACATAGATTAGCTTACTCGCGAATGGATTCCAGTGAATCTATGTTTGGGAAAACTTCCCCGAACATAGATTAGCAAACTAGTGACTCGCGCCTAGGGAGTTTTTTCGGGGTCATATTATGAGTATCCCCCAAAAATAAGCTAGGGCTTATTTTAGGGACATGTCTTATTTTTAGGGAAACAGGGTATTACTCATATAGTATCATGAAGCTATAGGTGCCAATCCTTTGTCCTTCTGAATCAGAAACTGAAATGTAAAAAAAATAAATAAACGTATGCTCAGTCTTTTTTTCTTATAAACAGAAATAGTGTATCATAAAAATGTAAGTTATAAAATATTTCCTCCTCTTTTGCAGATTTGAACAATCATCATGGCAGACGGTTCAAAGTAAGTTTAGACTAACATTTTAGTATTCAATTAACTTCTAGAATAGTATTTACAAAAAATAGACTTTACTGTTTTTAATTTTTTCTTATATATATTTAATTAAACATGTAATTACTATTATAACTTCCCAAATCAATCAAGAAAGAATTCTACCACAAGAAAAAGGATGATAAAAACATTCTCTAGTTTTTTAAAAATTATTTTTATCAAATGCATGTGTGTGCACAGACCATGTAAAGATGTGTGGTGCATTTTTGAAGTTAAGACAAATTAGTTGGAGATCTATTAACCATGTATTAACTTAACGCAGCCCCAGCCTTATGTATAAAGGGGAGGAGTTAGCAGATTCCAACACTACTTTAAACTTAAAGGAACACTATAGAATTAGGAACACAAACATGTATTCCTAACCTCATAAAAAAAAACATCAAGCCCCCCTGGTTCCCTTAAATATAGCAAATTCTTACTTTTACTCCTGTTTGCCACTGCTGGCTCTGCCTCTGACCTACCTGCTTCTCTGACATCATCAGAAGTGTTGATCAAAAGCCAATCACAATGCTTTGCCATGGGATTGGCTGAGACTGTCAATGAGGCAGATCAGAGGCAGAGCCAGCACAAGTCAAACACAGCCCTTGCCAATCACCTTCTCCTCATAGAGATACATTGAATCAATGCATCTCTATGAGGAACATACAGTGTCTCTATGCAGAGGGTGGAGACACTATGCAGCACTGCCCCAGGATGCCATCTGAAGAGTGGCCAGTGAAGTTATCACTAGGCTGTAATGTAAACACTGCTTTTTCTCTGAAAAGACTGTGTTTACTGCAAAAAGCCAGAAGGGAATGATTATATTAACCAGAACAAATACAATAAGCTGTAGTTGTTCTGGTGACTATAGTGTCCCTTTAATGAAGAAGACACCGGACTTCAAATTAAGAAGAGACTCCTCAATCTACGATTAGTAAAAAGCTAAAAAAAATATATATTTTTATTAAAATAAATGACGTGGCTGGAACAGACATGGGGAGCTTGGATCAATGCATTTTATGTCTGTATAGTAGATGCAATGTGTGTAAAGGGTACAGTGTATGTATGTGAATTTGTTGGATCGGCGCTGTGGTCTGTGGGGGGTAAGAGGGAAGCATTTTTTTTACTATTTAAAGTTATTCCCCAGTCCCTGTTTCTTACCTGTAACCGTGTCCCCCAACAAATTCATCAAGGCACACCAATAGTTCAGTATTTCCAAATTATGTTCCAGTTGGAATAATGACGAAATACACCATCATGGGTTGGGAACCACTTACCTATAGTACATACAGTTACCTTGTCTAACCATGGCCTTTGAAATAGGTTGATTCATTTGTTCATTTGTTTTACAGAGTTTTTAAGAAGACCAGCTCTGACAGCAAGGTAGGTTGCAGCAGGAGACCACACCATTGCATTAGCATTTCAAGGCAGGTTCACAAGTGGTTTTTGGGGTGAATTTACAAAAGAGTGCTTGAGGGGTTATTAACCAGGACTTTGCAAAATTTAAAGATAAGAAAAGTAGATGATTTAGAAAAATTGCTGTGTTGGAGATTGTTTTTCAGCTTGGTTGTGCTTGCCTACATTTTGCATTTCTCTGATTCATTGCAGGTTGTGGCAGGTAAGTAGTGAGCCTATGTGTCCATATGTGTGATATATTGCAAGAGGGTAAGATACACATTCACACATTGCAAAATTACGCTCCACTAGTAATTATTAGAAATGAAAATGCAATTATGGACAGGATTATTGGCTGAACCGTGAATTGTTCGGAATTCATCAGGAATTGAACATTTTGTGCTAAAATAATCAAAATGGAAAAATCCTTTTTTTGACGAGTTATCACCAAGCGCTTTCAAGATGTATTTTCTTATATAAGTGAATATGAGACGATATATATTTAATAATCTTATGCGACACACATCACAAGTCTGAAACCGTTATCAGTTTTTTTTAGATTTCCAGTTTATGCAGATATTTAGAGTTTATTTTTAACTGGTACAAAAAAACATGTTCTAGTAGGACAAATTAACAAATGCTTACCCTGATCTGAAAAAGAAAAGTGTTAAAACCTCACTTTTGTTTATCAGAACTATAGCCAATCTTTTATTTTCCGTTTCCCTAAGCTATCCATCTACCTTGCAAAACGAGACTATGTGGACCATGTGGAATTTGTGGAACCTGTAGGTAAGTAGGTCTAAGCCCTGAATGGCATCAATGCAACATTTTTCCAATCATAACCTCAGTCTTTAACTAAACATGCTTCTTTTTATTTTATTACTGTAGAAGGAGTAATTCTGATTGATCCTGAATATCAAAAAGAGAAAAAAGGTAATACGTAAACAGGTTTGAGGATTGCTAATATGTATATGACTGATTATTCCTGTATCAGAATAGAAAACCTAAACACATTAACACACTATTTGTGCCCTAAACACATTATTTTTTATTACAATTCAAAGCTCAAGATATAGTAAACCAGAGTTGTGCATTTGGATTTAGCTGAATTGTGGCCAATAAACAAAATGTTGATTTTTTTTTTTTTCACAGATCAAGTGAGAAGTTACCAATAGAAGGAAAAAAGAGGATCATATATATCATATATAAAGATTTTCTTATATTTAACCTCTCTTTTCCTCTATCACTTACTTTATCTGTGAGCTAAATGGTGGGAAAATGCAGACAAACCAAAATGGCCCAAAATACAGATCGATATATATATATATATATATATATATACACACATATATATATATGAGAGCAGCAAACTGATTGGTCCATTTTCATACACTTTTGGTTCTCCTGGACATTTCTCCAAATATTTTCCATGGACGATACTCTGCCAAATCACATGGATAAGCATCGGACATCCCAGAAAAATAAAAAATAATTTTGGGAAAAATTAGTCAAACTGAAATTTCCTGCCATGCACAAGTCTGTAAGAAGCCACACAGAGTATAATCTATTGTACATTGTACCATTAATTTTATGAACTACGGACAGCACTTAAGACAGGCAGTTGGGTAAACTAAGGAATACCAGTCACAATCAACATAACAATACTAAGACATAACAAAGGACATAATATGGGTTTTGTTTTACATGCACTTTTACAAATGCACTGATATTTTATATAAGCAATACTTCTTCTTTACTGCTGTTTCAATATATCCATCATCAAAATAAATATATATAATTGTGATCATCCAATGGAGGAAGCAAGAGGTGGGTCTCTGAGATAGATATTAGAAGGAAGGTTGCAGGAGACCAGGAACTATCACATACTTGGTGGGAAGTGGTCAGGTTTACACAATTTTTCACCTACTTTTAGTGTAGAGACAGAAAATTAATTATTGAGCTTAGGGAGTTGGGGACAAATATAAAAATTCTTCTTCTACGTAATTTATGAAAGTAAAATAACTGAGCAAAGTTTATGATATGCATAACAATGTGCATTAAATGAACAATATATACTGAGGATCCAGACTTTGAACTAAGCATTGTGATCAATTGGACAATGTAGTAGGTTAGAATATGTGACAAACGATGTATTATTTTCAATGTCTCTTATTCATTTTATTGTTCCCAACCTAATTTCATATTTTCCACATTTGTTCTCCGTCTATTTCTTCTCTAGTTTTTGTAACATTGACCTGTGCTTTTCGCTATGGTCGGGATGACATGGAACTCATTGGTCTGAGCTTCAGGAAGGATTTGTACGTTCTGTCCTGTCAAGTATACCCACCTTGTCCAGAAGATCAAAAGCCTCTCAGCCCCCTTCAAGAAAAACTTAAAGCAAAGCTAGGAGTGAACTCCTTCCCCTTCAGTTTTAATGTGAGAAATTAACATATTGATTGGGAATTAAAAAGGTTAGATTTATTGGGTGAGGTTATCAATCATACATTCTTTGTTTTATAGATTGCCAAGAATTTACCATGTTCTGTGACACTTCAACCAGGGCCAGAAGATTCTGGGAAGGTGAGAAAGTTTATCATTGAAAATAAGTACAGGTACTGGTACAGCATACAGTGTGGGATTGATGGAAAAGAGGACAATGGACAGGAATATGCACTTCCAGACCTTATGATGCTGGTGCTTAATTAGATCATTTCAAAAAGGCAAGAAGAGGTAAACAAGTTTGAACAACAAACCAAGTTTAGGGATCCAGGAATCAATTTATTTAAAAGAGAATCAAGGCCAAAACGAAAACTACTTATACTATGTCTATATATAAGGACACTGAAATAGACCTCAATAATGTTAAAAAAAAAAAAAAAGCAAAGCAGGAAGTGTGGTTGTCAACAAAAGCATGACGTTATTAATATAACAATTATCAAATTATATGATATCAAAATGAGTTTCCATCCCTAGAGGTATTTAATCAATCTCACTCCCCCTACCCTATTAGCAGACCCTCATAATACATGTTTATATTGTTATATATTGGGTTTTTGTTTTTTATTGAATGCTCTCTAAGCTAATAGAAGGTCTTTTATGTTCACTAGCAATTTGACACCTCAAGAGATCTAGAAATTAAATGACAGAATGCCACTCCAAGTTTTTTTGGCTGACAGAGACATTGTTTATTTATGACATTGGTAAATGTCAGAAGATCTATAATTCATGTTGTGATTTGATATATTTATCAATCATACATGAATGTAAATTGAATATGCAAAAAAGAGTATATCAATTGTCAAATAGTTTACATTCAGTGAATCACCACTGTTGGCAACAAATATCCTATAATGCTCTTAGTCTTAATTAAATAAAAGTGGTGAATTGTTAAATAGGGTGACAAATGATTATATAAATGTTTGATGCCATATAAAAAATGTACATAATAATTCGTAATTATTTTTGTGTTTCTTACAAACACATGTTCTTAATTGATTTCCTGTAGTTCCCACTTCTTGCATTCTAATTGGTGATATTGTCTTCCAGGCCTGTGGGGTGGATTATGAGGTGAAAGGATTCTGGGCAGACAATGTGGAGGAGAAAGTCCACAAGAGGTAGGATAAATATTTCTTAGCAAAATGACTTTCAAAGTGATGCTATCTCTTTGGTTAGTGGTAATGGTGCAAGGATTCCTTGGTCCATCCTTACTATTAAAGAACCAGTTTGGACACCATAGCAACTTCATCAAAATTATGTTGTTATGGTTCCAGGGGGTCTCTGGTGCTGGCTCACCTTTAGGAGTTATACCATTCTCAAATCAGAAGAATACCATTAGAACAAAATGTATTATTATCATCATCACAATAACAAGGGGTGTATGTTGACTTTTGACTATATTTTCAGAAAAGTACAGATACAAACATATAAAAGATTAAGAAGCTATTTTGTATTTTTATACAAAGGCTAAGCCCTAGATGAATAAAGGGAATAGATTAGACAGAAATAAATCATTTAATGCATCACATAAAATCCTAAGTCTAAAACTACTGCTAATCTCATCAGCAGACTATACAATTATCTTCCCCATAATGTTAAATTACAGTGATATCTAGATATTTACAAATAGACAACTGTAAATTTGGTCAAATAAAGACTGGTTATTACAAATTCTACACATTTTCTAAAATGAAGCTTGGATTTGCTCCTTCTCCTGCAGGAATTCTGTATGCCTCATTATTAGGAAGGTTCAGTATGCTCCTGAGATCTCTGGACCGGCCCCAAAAGCAGATACCACACGTCAGTTCATGATGTCTGATCGACCATTGCAGCTGGAAGCCTCACTAGAAAAAGAGGTGCTGCCCTAACTCAAGAGCAATCTCAAATTATTCTAAATTCTCTTTTTATCTTCCTGACACTACACTATATGGGTCTTGTCATTTTTCTTATTTTCCAAATCCAGCTTGTGTGTTTATGTGTATATGTTCTGTTGGCGCTTTATAAATACCAGTTGTGTGTGTGTGTGTGTGTTTGTTCTTGTTCTTAAAGGTGGCCTTATGCAGAAACATACCCTAGAGAGGGGATGTTGTTCATATACTATCTATATTACCATCATCTCATTGCACAACTCCTTCATTTTCGCTCTAGTTAATTTCACTCTAATCAGTCTCACCAAAATATCACTCTAGTTCAACAAGTCTTATCATGGTCTTCTTCCAGATATACTACCATGGGGAGCCAATCAAGGTTAATGTGAAAATCAACAATACAACCAGCAAGATTGTGAAAAAGATCAAGATTACAGGTGTGTGAAAATTGCAGTGCGTGGCATGTCCTTTTAGATGTCAGAGTACTTTTGTCAACTGTGCTTGCTCTGTGTGAAACTGCAGCAATAGGCAAGTAAGGATCAGCAGTAGTCTGTAAGGTGACAGTAGAGTCTGACCCAACATGGCTGCTCAGCCAGATAAAGTACAATTTTCTCAAAAAAGAAAATGAAGTTGAGAAAAAAGTAATTGCACATAATTAAAGAAAATATCATTAAGTTTCATTAAAAAATGAGAAGTGAATATTTGATGACAGTTGTCCTTTAATTAATTAAAGGATCAATATAGTGTCAGGAAAACAAAACGGTTTTCCTGACACTATAGTGCCCTGAGGGTGCCCCCACTCTCAGGGTCCCCCTTCCGTGGTACTGAAGGGGTTCAGTTACTCACCTTAATCCAGCGCCGGGCTCACTCGGTGCTGGTCACCTCTCCTCCCCGGCCGACGTCAGCTCCCCCGTCTGACGTCAGCGGAGCCGAATGCGCATTTAAAGTGTCCATAGGAAAGCATTTCTCAATGCTTTCCTATGGACGCTCTGCATGATGGAGGCATATTATGCCTCCAGCGTCGTAGATGCGCCTCTAGTGGATGTCCGGAAGACAGCCACTAGAGGCTGGATTAACCCCAAATGTAAACATAGCAGTTTCTCAGAAACTGCTATGTTTGCATCTGAAGGGTTAAAACCTGAGGGACCTGGCACCCAGACCAATTCATTGAGCTGAAGTAGTCTGGGTGACTATAGTGTCCCTTTAAAGAAAATATCAACAGAGTACTCTGTGGTATACCTTGTAGTTTGTATATTGCTTACATGTGTCATATATGTCTTACAAACTATTTATTGCAACAAAAAAAAAAGGAAGGTCCTGAATTTTAGACTTGTATTTTTGATGATTTACTTTACTGCAGGGACAGAATCACTGTGTACTCCAAAAAATATTGAGTAGATTAGAGAATGAAGTGTGTGAGCAGGCTGTTTCTGTCTATGATTCATGTTACAAATTATTAAAAAAATGTGTGTGACATATTATCACTATTTACATGAAATGTTTTCTCATGGCCTACAAAGTGGAGCAAGTGACCGATGTTGTGCTTTATTCATTGGACAAGTACACCAAGACAGTATGCAGTGAAGAGATCAAGTAAGTGCACAAAACATAAGATGATAGAATAAATGTGATGGAAATTGGGAGACCGAGAAACCAATTTTATCATATGTTAAAGCAACACTCCAAGCACCATAATTACTACAGCCAACTGAATTGGATATGGTGGTAGGAGCACCTTGGTGCCCCCACAAGTGTAAATCTACAAATTGTTTTAGAACAGTTTGACAACTTACACAGTGTGCGCAGGTCACCGCCACTGCTTCCTCTGCCCCAGAAGCTCTTACAATGAGGTAAAACCAATGGTGCATGGAGGCGCTCATAGACTGAGAGCACTCGCTGATGTTTTCAGTCAACGAGCTGGCCCTACCTTGTAGCGTTTAGTTCAGTGGAGATAACTGAAGCTCCCTGAAGGAGTCTTCAGCTCTAGACAAGGCTTTCTTAAATTATCAATATTATCATTTACATAGCACCAAAATTCCACAGCGCTTTACAATAAAATAATGGGGATATTTAGCAAGTCATTTACAAACAAAAATGAACAAAGACAAGAGTTGAAGAAGGCCCTTCTATAACGAGCTTACAATGTATGCAAAAAGGTAAAGTCACACAAGAGAAATAATAGTATGTCAGGGTGGAGGAAGGACTGATGTATAAATCCTTTGACTACTTACACTGGAGGGGAAACCAGGGTAGCAATGAAACCATAACCACTCCTTAATCTGCCCTTTATGCTATTTTACACTCTGCTATTTTAGACTCTCTATACAAATTCATTGCTGCCAATCCACTTTTACATTTTTTGTATTGCTCATGTATACCTAATTTGAAATGATTATGTTAATATATGACTTTTGTATCACTATACTTTTTTGCATTAACAAAGTACAAACAAGTATACAATCTTATTAACTTCAATTCCACCCCAGCACACATAAACACTCCATACAAATACACCCCTGTATTTACACATACAGTAACAAACCAAACAAATGCATTCTTGCGTTAATTGTAATTCGGCTCAAATACACTGCTGCATTTACACCAACGTTCAACACAAAGGAACATATTTACTAAATTCTGAATAATAGCAAATTAAACTCAGAATTACAAAATTTAGGCTCAAGTATATGATCTCGTAAAATTCTCTAACTCAGCTACAGTCACTTGACTGTTTCCCCCCTTAGTTTTGGAATTTGTACTACAATTTACTGCAATTCAGACTTAAGTGGCTAAACCTACTTACACTACTTGCAAATAAACTAATTTTGATACACACAAATAGCTTTTTACACTTACTGAGTTACTGTGATTACATACAAATAAATACATGCATTCATACTGGCAGTATTTATATATATATATATATATATATATATATATATATATATATATATATAGTGAGAGATACAAAAAATAGCACATGCATTGACGTGGACAAAATGCAACTGTTTTGTATACACAATGAAAGGTGCTCTGTGCAAAAAACAAAAAAACACTTACAAAAATTATACAGTAAATAATTGTTACAGCAGCTACTACACTAATGTGGGTATCTCTAAAAAAAAATGCAACTGTGTTAACAACGAATTTAAACACTCAGATACAAACAAGCCTTCATACACATACCTTCACACTATATACAAATAAAACGATGCACACTGTTATTTGAAACATTTACTTAATTCTGCTTTAAAGTGCCCAGGACATAATTTTGCCTTAGGGTCCTGAAGGCTGTCAATCCGTTCCTGTATAAGATTCTTCTTCATCCTTTCTCTGTCTCACCGCATCTGTTTCTTATATTGTTTCTGTCTTTATGTTCCTAGTGATACAGTTTCAGCAAATTCCTCATTATCCAGAACATACTCTGTGACTCCATTTTTAGCTGATAACCGGGAGAAGAGAGGCCTGGCCTTGGATGGCAAATTAAAGCATGGGGACACCAACTTGGCTTCATCCACAATGTAACTATGACACATTTGTCAGTCCACTGTCCAGTATGCTACATCCTGTAATTGACATAATGCATTGACTCTAATATCCCTAATAAGCTCTTAGTACCATGTGCATGTTTTTGAATAGTGCTTGGTATACTTTGTTAAAAATGTTTTCTCGCAATAAGACAATACAAATAGCTGCATTTGCTTCTTTTTTTTTATATGCAAAAAACTCAAAAAGGAAATAGTCACACTGAACTGATCAACCAAGGGATAGAAGCTATGGTCCATGAATATTCAGTACACAGTACTCTTTAATTTAGATATGAGATGTATGCCTGCATATGTCTTGCAGTGAGTGATACAATGATAGAAAGTCTGTTTTGCTGGTGTTTTGGTATGCTATCATGGATTGAACCTTTGAGAACTATAAAATGATTTACATGAATATCGCTGCACGTGTTTTGTATTTACAGCCTGCGCCCGGGCATGGACAAGGAAGTGATGGGAATTTTGGTATCTTATAAAGTCCGAATTAATTTGATGGTGGCCAGAGGAGGGTATGTTATATTTCTAGTACAAACATATGCTGAGTATTCCAGCATGGACAATTGTTTATTTCAGCTGGTGTTTAGGGTATGTGAGCAAAAAGTACAGTAAATACATTGATGCACCACCATGTCCCCATAAATCAGTTAATGGGTCTGGTACCTAAGTAGGAAAATGGGCCATAGTGATAGGAGATGTCTGCACTGACCTCATCTTAACATGCAAACACAATATAACAGGATATGTATCTTTATGTGAAACCTAACTCTCCCTAAAACCTTTGCTGTGGTGATCAGAAAAGGATTAGGGATTTTAGCTGCACTAGGCAACTTAAGACTTTATGCCTCTTCAGCATGAACATTACCAGCATCAAATACATATACAACTGCCATTCACTTTACAATAGAATAACTCAGACAAACATAGACACATACAAACACATACTCTGTCATATATATGTATAGATACACAATCACACAAGGTCATAACACGCATAAGCACCTAACCATACACAGTCACATACATACCTAGGCACACACAAAAATATACATAGACAAACACAGTCACATATACATAGTCACACACACTAGCATACACACAGTCACACAAAAAATTTATTTGAATTCATTAAACCTGCCTCTCATACCCCTGCAGTTTACATTAGTTGGCACCGATGGTGAAGAGGAGAGGAGGCCAGAGTAACGGCAGACCCTGGTGTCTAGCAGTAATGATGAAGGCACTCTTTCCTTCTTCCCCCTTGGTGGGCTGCACTGTTAACAAGCAGCGGATGCTGACATAAGCCTTGCCTGATATGCACCTGCTCTAACTAAGCAGACAGCAACAAGCAGCTGTTACCCACGTCCCTGGTGGCAATTAATAGTCTGTACCCTGGAGGAGTATTTTTATTTTTTTTAACTACACATTACATCTTCAGGTAAAGGTAAGGCAATCACAGGGGCACAATGAAAAGAAAAAAAAACAAAGTAAAAGGGAACTAGGACCAATAATGGTAAATGTATACTGGGGAACTACAAAAATAATAATAGAATTACTTGTTAACCGTATAACTAAACAGAGCAAAATGGAAAACAGTAAAGCAAAAAAGAGAATAAAGAAAACAGGAGGTTTAAAAAGTGGAATAGATTTACACAAATGTACTATTCCCTATTCTATTTTCTGATGGCAGGTCTGTAAATACTTTGTGTTGATGTCACTAATAATTTCTATGTATATTTCCTTCTTTTCAGCATTCTGGGTGATCTAACATCAAGGTAATTTCCACATCTAATGACAATACAAACCTAACATGTTATCATACTACACATGCAAATACAAACACAAACTCCATATCATTCAAACAGCAATCAACGTACTGATATTTTCGTAAAACCTTTAAAACATTGTCTTTTTCTTTTTGCCTTCCAAATGCCATTACAGACATATAGTTGTTGTTCATTAATGAAAATCTGTTTCTTTATCTTAGTGACGTTTTTGTGGATCTTCCGCTTATACTGATGCATCCCAAACCATCAGAGAGTAAGTTTACCTGCAGAGAATAAAATATACAGTTGCAAGAAAAAGTATGTGAACCCTTTGGAATGATATGGATTTCTGCACAAATTGGTCATAAAATGTGATCTGTTCATCATCTAAGTCACAACAATAGACAATCACAGTCTGCTTAAATTAATAACACACAAAGAATGAAATGTTGCCATGTTTTTATTGAACACACCATGTAAACATTCACAGTGCAGGTGGAAAAAGTATATGAACCCTTGGATTTAATAACTGGTTGAACCTCCTTTTGCAGCAATAACGTCAACCAAATGTTTCCTGTAGTTGCAGATCAGACGTGCACAACGGTCAGGAGTAATTCTTGACCATTCCTCTGTACAGAACTGTTTCAGTTCAGCAATATTCTTGGGATGTCTGGTGTGAATCGCTTTCTTGAAGTTATGCCACAGCATCTCAATGGGGTTGAGGTCAGGACTCTGACTGGGCCACTTCAGAAGGCGTATTTTCTTCTGTTTAAGCCATTCTGTTGTTGATTTACTTCTATGCTTTGGGTCATTGTCCTGTTGAAACACCCATCTTCTGTTGAGCTTCAGCTGGTAGACAGATGGCCTTAAGTTCTCCTGCAAAATGTCTTGATAAACTTGGGAATTAATTTTTCCTTCGATGATAGCAATGCGTCCAGGCCCTGATGCAGCAAAGCAGCCCCAAACCATGATGCCACCACCACCATACTTCACAGTTGGGATAAGGTTTTAATGTTGGTGTGCTGTGCCTTTTTTTCGCCACACATAGTGTTGTGTGTTTCTTCCAAACAACTCAACTTTGGTTTCATCTGTCCACAGAATATTTTGCCAGGACTGCTGTGGAACATCCAGGTGCTCTTGTGCAAACTGTAAACGTGCAGCAATGTTTTGTTTGGACAGCAGTGACTTCCTCTGTGGTATCATCCCATGAAATCCATTCTTGTTTAATGTTTTACGTATTGTAGATTCGCTAACAGGGATGTTAGCATTTGCCAGTGACTTTTGTAAGTCTTTAGCTGACACTCTAGGATTCTTCTTCACCTCATTGAGCAGTCTGCGATGTGCTCTTGCAATCATCTTTACAGGACAGCCACTCCTAGGGAGAGTAGCAGCAGTGCTGAACTTTCTCCATTTAAAGACAATTTGTCTTACCGTGGACTGATGAACAGCAAGGCTTTTGGAGATACTTTTATAACCCTTTCCAGCTTTATGCAAGTTTATGCACAATTCTTAATCGTAGGTCTTCTGAGAGCTCTTTTGTGCGAGGCATCATTCACATCAGGCAATGCTTCTTGTGAAAAGCAAACCCAGAACTGGTGTGTGTTTTTAGGGCAGGGCAGCTGTAACCAACACCTCCAATCTCATCTCATTGATTGGACTCCAGTTGGCTGACATCTCACTCCAATTAGCTCTTGGAGATGTCATTAGTCTAGGAGTTCACATACTTTTTCCACCTGCACTGTGAATGTTTACATGGTGTGTTCAATAAATATATATATATATAGATTCTATTAAGCCACACTGTTTTAGCCTATGTTGACTAGTGCATGAGTCAATAAAACACCTTATTTTTTTATCTATCCAGTGGCAGTTTAAAATATGTACATTTGTAATCTTCTGATAAGTATAGAGAAAAATTAGTCAAATTATTTATTATTTTACTTTTCAGTACATAGGTGTCTCTGACTCCTGTCTCTCTCTATTAATGTCTCTAGCTCTACTAATGATTTAGTTTAGTGAAATGCTTGTCGATTGTTAGAGCATTGTTATCAATTAATTTAGTGAACTTAACCATCATTTTCTACTACTGCAATCTACCCTTTATCTGTCTAATTATGGAAGCTAGGATTTATAGCACAGTGAGTTGCTGAGGGCAAGCTTCACCTTATTTCCCAAGATTTATTAAGTCCCATTTTCCCACAATACCCACCTGCCCATTTCATCCATCCTCTCTAATCTCACAATTCTCTGTCATTCATGCATGGGACTTTAAAAAGTGTACATGAAGGTACACAATACATCACAGCCAGGATCAGGCACCCTGGGATTCCGTGAAATATCCCAGTGGGCCGCTTTTGTACTGTGTTGGTGTTCTAATGCGCTAGGTTAGTGGCTCCTCAGCCTCCCCTAGCGCAGAACTGAGTTGCTCTCTCTTGGCTCTGAGCAGTCACTCAAAATGTGCTGCTCGGTGATGAGTGTCAGCTACTCTGCTCTCCTATGCTGCTCTGCTTAATTTGGGGGCTACTGCTAGTGAGGGAGCTCCAATCCATATGGGCATTGCCTGCACAGCTTCCTCGTACGCACTATATAGGTACCGGGAGCCGGAATATGAAATCACTCCAGGTCTGGCACCACTGCAAGATACACAAGAGAGCAGTACAGGAAAAGCCCATATGGATCAGAGCTCCCTCAGAGGAGAGCAACCCACTCTGGCGAAAAATGCACTTAAAAGGACACTTTAGTCACCAGAACCACTACAGCTTAATGTAGTAGTCCTGGTGTCCATAGCATGACCCTGTAGTCTTTTCAATGTAAACACTGCCTTTTCAGAGAAAATTTTGTGTTTTTATTTCTGCCTAGTAACACCTTAAGGTGCAGTCACTCAGAAAGCCACTAAAGGTGTTTCCTAGTACAGTGCTGAAAAGTGTGCAGTTCTGGAATTCAGCGCCTCCACACTCTGCATGGAGACGCTGTACATTCTCCATAGAGATGTGTTTATTCAATGCATCTCTATGAAGAGATAGTGATTGGCGCAGCATGGCATATTACCGCACATGCGCAACAGCCTCCCATTGCTTTCCTATGGGAAAGCATTGGACTAGCTGTAATCATCAAGATCATGGAGGCGAGACCAGAAGGGGCCAGATATGGTGAAAATGGCATGATGTGGATAAAGAGTAAGTTTAATACCTTTTCAGAGCAATTTGAGGGGAGCCAAGAAGCTCAACAGTTAATGTAATAATATAGTGTTAGGAATACATATTTGTAATCCTGACACTATATTGTTTCTTTAAGCAGCAGTGTCACAAGGATATTAACCCCCTCTCCTCAATGGACCTCTTCCCATACCAGACCATATAACACTGTTGGTGTCAACCCCTCTGATTGTGTCTTCTGGTGCGCTGTGCACCATCCACACCCCACCTAGTCACAACAGTGACTCAAGTTGTATTGATGCTCAGAGTATCCTTTTCTAGTCTTGTCCTTAGCCCCCCTACAATCACAGTGTACACCTGAGCCTCCATTGAGAAGCTGGGCAAAGTAATTTGCATAGTCTCTGTCTTTAGTAGTTTGGCTACATCCAGTGACCATGCAAGGAAGGGGTGCACTAGTACGGTTGGCCCCACTCTTGTCTGCAGTTCAGTAATTTTTGTATGTGACTGAGCAAAGTATTTGGAGTTTTATAACGCATTGCTAGTATGAGTGTTTCTTTTATATTCACGCAGAATATATCAGATTAACTGCCACTGTAATGATTATATTCAAATTTTTGAGAATGTGTTTTCATGGTGCATATTTTCTTCTGTTCCCCCAATCTCTCTCTCTGGTTACATGAAATCTACAGACATGACAAGGTAAGAGCAAGTGACACATAAAAAATAGTTTTTTGGGGATATTTCTGTATTGTGCGATATTGACCATATACTTATTAAATGGCAGATAAATATTGATTATACCAAGCTTTGTTCGTATGACAGTTATACAGTTACTGTGTTTATATTACAGTTAAAATATCCCTTTTAAATTAACTCCCCAAATTCCTCTACACCCAGTCATCGCTTTTTTTCCCCCTTAATACAGTGCAGAGGATGTGGTAATTGAAGAATTCGCTCGCCACCAGCTGGAAGGAGGTGATGATGAAGAAGAGAAAGAGGAAACAGAAAGCTGAAGTGACCACAACACCAATCCATAGAAAATTAACAAATCATTCTCAAAAATACCATAACAATTTTAAAGCAATTTGTAATCTTCCAGTGTCAGTGGATACACTAGCATCCTACTCATCATTTCCATTTGTTTGAATCCGTGTTCGTGTTGTTGCATTACCTGTGATCCCAGTGAAATTGCCATGTACTCCTAAATCAATAAAATACTCAAACTTTTATGTGTTTGAATCCCATCTTCTCAGGAGTACTGGCTATGGCATGAGAATTGTGAAAAATAAAGGTACATTATTCACACAGCATTTCATAATTTACAGATTTTACTATGAGCATGACGTAAAGTCATGATTTTATTAATGACATGGAGGCTCCTATTATGCTGCACTCTTTCTTTATTTACCTCAACAGCAAAGAAAAATAACATTAAATCAGTTTAGAAGAAACCAGTAAATAACATGAGGTATATCTTCCTAGCAACAGGAACAGCCAATCAGCATCCTCTTTGTAGCATAATAGGCAGTGTCCAGTATACTACTTCCTCTTTCTTGCGATCCCGAACAAGGACAACAAATCCAAATAATAAGTGGGCTCCAATAAGAGGGTATACGAGCCTTAAACTGGATCTCGAAGTCAAGCTGGAAGAGAAAGGATAATATGGTAATATCAAAGTATAAAACTGGATTTATGCATAAATTTGCATTACATGGAATATCATATATATATGCATAACATGAAATTCAGTTTAGTCAAACCTTAAGCTCTTGACAGTCATTAACATAAATAAAACCCGGTAATCAAAAAAGACTTAACGTGAAGTCAACTTACCCAGAGAAGACCAAACCTCCAGGGATGGGAGGGAGGATAATACTCGCCTCCGTGTCTTTAATAAAATCATGACTTTACGTCATGTTAATAGTAAAATCTGTAAATTTTATTAAGACACAGAGGCTCCTATTATGCTAGTACAAAGCTGTGAAATTATGTCTCCTGTGAAGTGTTGAATAGGTCTAAAGTAGAAATCATGGAATGTAGACTCCGAAGACCAGCCGCTCTCATAATATCCTCCAAGCGACAACCAATTGAGGAAGCCTTAGAAGCCATTGCCCCACGAATCGAATAAGGCACAGACACATAGGTATCAATACCTGCTAGACACATAACATATTTGACCCACCAGGCTAGAGTAGACACCGGAAGATGTGACTTTTGGAAGGAGATGAAGAGTTCTTGTTTTAAAGGATTCCGTAACATAGTGGAACGATGTTCACACACCCATTAGTATGCAACAGGGCAAAGGAGAGATCTATCAGGGAAAACTGGGTAAAATTGATTTTAGAGGAGGTTTTTGTCCTCCGTGAAATGTCAAAGAGGACACCTTCTGGAGTAAAGGAACGAGCAACCACCTCAAGAGCTCGTACATCAGAAAAACCTCTTACAAGAAAAAAATTCAAGACAATAGAGACGTCCCACAAGACAGAGTATCGTGGTAAGGGTGAATGAGCAAACCATATTCCTCAGAGAAGTCAACATATGACAGGATGTCAACCGACAGGTGTCCAATCGAACTTTGATGGCCAGCAGAAATGGACGATCGGTAAGGTCCACAGTGTGATAGGCTGTACCTTCATAGAAGTCAGAAAAATGGAGGACAGACATAAAAGGATCTGATATGGGATTTAAATTTAATTTCATGCACCAACTATGCCATCTGCTCAAAGCAGATTTATAATCCTGTCTCATGTTGGGTGCACCCTTGATAAGTTGGGGAGTTGATTGCGAAACTCCCTTGACCGACCAAGGTTCCCTGAAATAGACTACACTATGAGATGCAAAAGACCTTGGAGAACAAGGGGATGAGGTACACCATCTGGATCCTGAAGAAGGCACTCGAGAGATGGAAGGTCGATAACCATCTCCTGAAGAGGAGAGAACTATGGTTGGGACGGCGATAGAGGAGCCACGATCACCAGGTGCCGGACTGGCGATGTAGATGGAAAGGCAACAGGGAATCAGTGCAAATGGCAGAAAATCGTAATTCCTTGGACGAAACATTCATAGCCAGTGCTATCGGATCTGGTCTCCAACTGAAAAAACGGGGAAGTTGAGCATTCAAACGAGAAGCGAAAAAGATCTATTTCCAATAGACCCTATAGGTTCCACATGTCTTGGAAGACCATGGAATCCAAGTGCCAGTCGCTGGAATCTCTGAGTTGGTGTGAATACCAGTCCGCCGTAGTGTTGGAGAGACCTTGAATATATTCTGCCATGACTGAAATGCCATGTATCAGGTAAAATTGCCAGAAATCACAAAGCATATAGGTCAGAATGTTGTATATTGTGCCTCCAAGTGACTGATGTAGCCGACTGCTCACACGTTGTCCATCTTCAGAAAGATGACGCATTGGGCTTGAGTTGGGGAGAAACTGTGGACAGCAAAGGAACCGGCCAGCTGTTCCAAACAACTGATGTGGAGTGTCGATTCCAGGTTTGAATATTTGCCCTTGGTGGAAATATATTCGCATTGAGCACCCCAACCGTGCAAACTTGCGTCGGATTTGATTATCAAATATGGAGCTGTACAATATGGTGCACTCATTCCAAGCTTCCATGTGAAGAAGCCACCATTGGCGTTCATCCTCCGCTTCTGAGTCCAGAGTTACCATATCTGTGTATGATGCGCTGCCCTTGAGATTAAGTTTGTAATCGTTGTAGGGCTTGATAGCCAAGAAGACCTGGAAAATGGCCTGTATAGATGCCGCTAGCATCTTAACATTCTTAACAGTTGTTTGAGAGAGAGTTGAGAGGTTGCTAGTGTTCGCCTATCTTCTTCTTGATATTGCCTAATTTTGCCACCAGAAGGTATAGAGTTTGAAGGGTAGAATCTACAATAATCCAATATAACCCAGAAATTTGATTTGTTGCGTGGGAACGATAATGGATTTCTCCCAATTGATCAGGAAGCCTAGGTTCTCTAACAGAGTCAAAGTCCATGCAAGGTATGTCCGGATTAATTTGAATAGACTGAGCCAGAATGAAAATGCCGTCTAAATATATTATAAGACATGAGCTTGGTGAAGCACCATGGAGCCGAAGACAGTCCGAATGGGAGGCACCTGAACCTCTATTTACTGCCCTACCATGTAAATTGCAGGAAGTTCTCGGTCTTGATGTTGTACTGCGATAGCCACTGTGAGATATGCATCCTGCAGATCCAATTTGGCCATCCAATCTGCTGGTTGGAGAAGATACCTTAAACAATGCCCTCCTTCCATCTTGGAAGTGCTGATATGCTCATAACTATTGAGCTGTCTCACATTTATCACTGGACAGATACCTATGCCTTTTTTGGGAAATAACAAAAGGTTGCTCACGTAACCCAGGGTATGGACCGGAATCTCTATGATTGATTGTCCACGGAGACAAGGTCCGTGTCTCATTGGGAAAAAACTATTTCCCTCGATGGGGAACATTGAACAGTTAGAGAAAGGAAGTCTATGCAATACCCTTTCACAGTGTGAAGAACCTAAGCATCTGATGACATGAGGGACCATACATGGGAAAAATGTGTGAGCCTGCCCCCACTATCAGTAAGGAAGAATGGAAATTGTGAAGACTTCTTAGGAGCACCTCTTAGGCCACTAACAAGCCAGGGTCGACCACTTTGTGGGAAGGAGGTTGGTGTAGTGCATTGTTCAAAGAAATCGGCTCGGCAAGTATAAGAGCCTTGGTCCTGTCTAAAAGAACTTCTGTTTGTTTAGCCGGACAAAGGAGCCCAATTCTTTTACAAAGTTGTCCCCAAAGAGAAAACCTTTTGCCTGTGGTTCGTTCAGAGCCATAGTTAAATGTTTGTGCTCAATTTTAACCAAGATCAATTTGTGGCGTTCTGTGACAACCGCATTGTTGGCGTTGCCAACTTAAATCACTCTCTGGATCTAACCACTTAAGATGGCGCAATCTAATTCTAGATCATCCTCTACTGCTTCAAAGATCTTGGCTGCTGAGCCCAAGATGCCCAGGAATTTATCCTGACAGTTTTGCAATGAAAATCGAAGCCTTTAGTGGGATTCCATCCTGTCTTACTCAGGAATTGAATGATCTTAGGATCGACTGATAGCGTTTTACATGAGTCATCAGGGACTGTTCGGCGTGGCCATTCGGCCCGCAATTTATTTCACTTTGCCTTCTCAAAAGGCTTGCGTACTCTGGATGCAATATACTTGGCTACATGGTCTGAGGAGACCACTAGGTGACATAGGTCGTCAGATTCGAATAGCAGTTCACATTGAGTGTCCAAGATCCTATCGGTGACCCTGAGTCCGCCTAATCTACCTAAATCTTGGTAGGTTTAACAGGATGTGTATCCCAAATGGGATTAGCATCCTCTTCATCAGTAATTTCATAATCAGGATAGGAAATATCCTCTGAATCCTCCATATAGGACTCAGGGAACTCCTCCTCAATATCACTGAGCTCAGATTCAGAGTTCAGTTGGGCATTTGCCCTTTTCCAAAGTCTAGTCGATTTTGCCCGACTAGTAGCTCTTTTGCGCAGTGGTAAATTAATCGTGCGATCCGTGACAATTATGTTACTGTCCATCTCTATTGTTTTGGAGGAGTGTTTAGCCTTATATGAGGCCTTGCTGACAGACTGAAGCAGAGCAGGTGTGAGTACAGGTACACCTCGGGGAACTCCTCCTCAATATTACTGAGCTCGGATTCAGAGTTCAATTGGGCCTATGCCCTTTTCCAAGTCTAGTCGATTTTGCCCGACTAGTAGCTCTTTTGCGCGGTGGTAAATTCATCGCACCATCCGTGACAGGTATGGTACTGTCCATCTCTATTGTTTTGGAGGAGTGTTTTTAGCCTTAGATGAGGCATTGTGGTCTGACACCAGGGTCTTGTCATTGCTTTTACCATGGAAGTGTCAATTAAAGCCTGCATGTCAGCAGGATCAGTAAAGCAGAAATTCAGCCTCATCTCCAGAGATACCTGGAGAGGCTTCTACATTAATCTGCATGTTTGCTGTAGACTCAGAAGGCACAGAAAGATCCTGTCAGACTGCATTATAAATATACAAACAATCCTTAAGGGATGAATAAAGTAAAATAATACCAAAAGGAAAGGGTTGAGTAACGCTCAAGTAAAAAATAAATAACTAAACAGGATAAAGAAATGAAAGTAATCACAATAGTGAAAAAATAGCAATTGTAATATAAAAAACAAAGGAGCTGCCCAGCTGCCGCTATAACTAAACCCCAACTTGGATTTCAGGCAGTTGGTGGCAGAGCAGCAGCCAGACAGATAAATGAAGGGAAAAAACTGCACAATGGCACTATTCAGGGGATAAAGATCCTCAAAAACGCCCCTGAGCCCCAATTGATGGTAATCTTGGGGCCAGGGAGGTCAGAGGAGGAAGAAATTATCAAAGGATATACAATAAAGCATATAACTGAAGCAACTTAAGTAAATAAATCAAATTAAGTTAAAATGAAGTGACTAAATATATTTATGAACATGAAAATATTATAATTAAAATGTAATAACTATATTAACCACAGTAATGATATGAATAAAGTAAAAGATCCCACAGTTAAGAACCATGGGACCAAGTGTCACTTAACTGAGGGAGCAGCAAAGAAAAAGGAAGAGGTATACTGGACACTGCCCATTATGCTATAAAGAGGATGCTGGTTGGCTGTTCCTGTTGCCAGGAAGATATACCTCTCATGTTATTTTCTGGTTTCTTTTATACTGATTTAATGTTATTTTTCTTTGCTGCTGAGGTAAATAAAGAAAGAGAGCATAATAGGAGCCTCCGTGTCTTAATAAAATCCACAATACTTGATAATTGAATTAGTCGATGGCAGGTCGCAAGACTTTATTAAGAGTGATTTCAGCTGCTACTAAAGTAAAATTACAAATGTTTAACATATTTCATAGCACTATACCTTTCGTGATAACTGCAAAGAAAACAACACACCAAAGCAAATATACAGATGGTGATTAGTGCAGAAAAAAACCTGATAAAAATAAAAACTCATTACTGTATATACTCGTGTATAAGTCGATCTCATGTATAAGTCGAGTGCAGTTTTGTGACCAACAATTGTGAAATATGCTATGCCTCGTGGATAAGTCGAGGGTAAAACCTGGGGCTATGAAATTCTGTGATTTTTATAATTATATACACACACACTCATACAAACACACACTCTGTGTATATAATGCAGAGTGTGTATATAATGCAGAGTGTGTGTTTGTGTAGTGTGTGTGAACTGGGTGGGGGGAGGGCATTTTTATTATTTAAATTTTTTATATTTTTTTAATATTATTATTTTTTAATTATTTTAAATTTTTTTTTGTCCCCCCCTCCCTGCTTGTTAACTGGTCAGGGAGGGGGGCTATCTTAATCCCTGGTGGTCCAGTGGCATGGGCTGTGAAGTGGGGGGGCCGGCATGAAGCATTTACTTACCTTTCCTGCAGCTCCTGTCAGCTCCCTTCTCCTCCGTTCCGGTCAGCTCCACTGTAAGTCTCGCGGTCTGGTTGCCGCGCGGATCGTTGCCATGGCTCTGACGGCCGCGGCTCTCTAAGTTGCCATAATACAGACAGTGACTCGAGTATAAGTCGAGTGGGGGTTTTTAAGCACAAAAAATGTGCTGAAAAACTAGACTTATACTCGAGTATATACTGTAAATAAATAAGCAGTAACATAGATCAGAATAATGCTTAATAATGCTTTCCTATGAAAAGCAAATGACTGGATGTGTGTCAGTTACCAGTATGTCAAGACAAATATAAACGCACTCTTGGACTACCAAAAACCATGATTAAGATAGGTCACAAGCGCTTAATACAGGCCCATGTGGCCTCTGATTGGTTTGTGTCACTTTTTTCACCAAAAACAAATGTAATCCACGTCATGTGCGGGTGCCCTGACAGTACTATTTGCCCACACATCATGTGGCTTGCAATTCTGTAAAAGGGAGGAGCAGGCGGACTGTTCTGCATTATTGTCGAAGTCAGAACGACGTCCGGCTGAGGGATTGCCTGATCAGCAGATAGTGCCCAGAACCATCGGGGAGACGTTCAGAATACGGATCTGGTATGACACTTCCCTAAGAACTACCTGAACCTGACAACCCTTTTCTAAAGCATCTATGCCAACATCTCGCTTTCCTTTCAAAATGTTTCTTCATTGATTATAGGGTGTGTTGACTTAATTGATTGATCTAAGTGAAGCACCCAAGTATCACTTGGGACTATGCCCTCCATCCCGTACCCCATTATTTCACAGACCCCAATTAGTTTTAATTGGTTAGTGGACATGGAGGTACAATACCTCCATTATGGTCATTTGTGGGTCTTTTGACTCCCAAAGGATTTTTATTTACTAATTTTTAAAACATTTTTTTACTTTTTCCATGTGGCGGCTGGCTAGCAAAAAACGTTTGAAATAGAACCAGATTAAGAGCCCATTGGGTCTGGTGCTGACAATTATGATGTGCCTAATTACAGAATTTTATTGACAGAAAACACTAAAACAGTCATACCTCCCAAGTGTCATGTATCTGGCGGAGGTAGTGTTGAAGGGACGCAGCTATAAGAAAACACATACCCTGTGCTAATCTCTCGCTTTCATCTTTTAAGTAAATCCATACCCCCTAACAGCAGCGCCTAGTGAAGCAGGATGTCAGTGGGTGGTGTAAAAGGATGAGCCACTAATGTCACTAATATAAGCACCCTGATATACTGATAAGGACAATGACTGTCTGATAAGGATGAGTCAATTCAGCTGCACAGTTCACTCATTGGCAGAATTACAGACTATGTCTTCCAATCAGTCAGAGGTTTTGTAAAAAGAGGAGGTGTGACTAAAGGGGTGTAGTTATGCTGCAGGAAGATGCAGAACATAAAGAAATATTTTAATCTTAAAACATTTACCAGCTTAATATATCAAAGGCAGCAAACATGGAAGCTATATTGGATAGCTGGAAGTCTTAACTGTGAGATAAGAAGTTAATTTGCCCCGGGGACCTCACTGCTTGTGTATTAAGTGAGAAATGTACAGCAATTATAAACATAAGACCAGAGAAAAACTGTCAAGAATAGGGCTAAATCATAAAGAAAAAGGAACATGGTGACAGTATGAAAACTGCAGCATCAAGAGTTACGGTTCATTCGATCCCCTCCAGAGGCATAGGGCACTCCCAATTTGGTCTGGCAGCCTGTATAAACCACAACCTCAGTATCAGCAGGTGCGGCACCCAGGCACTGCGGCAACATAAATCTAGTGATGGCGGTGGTTTCGCCCTCTGTGTGCCAGTCTTCTGTGCCATTGCCCAATCAGGACGGCAGGGTATGGCATACGATCCATCGCAGCCACCATTTTCGATTGCTGCTTCCTGTCGTAGGCCTATTTCTCAACCAGAGCCGACACCACCCGTTTGTACTCTGGGATGGTTGGTCGTTTCCTGCCTGGTTATTGCAGAAGTCGGTACAGCTTGTCCCAGAAGTTCGCAAAGGTTTGGTCAAGTTTGCAGGTAAGTTTATCTCGGCCCCTGCTGCGATAAGCTTGGCACAAGGCATTCGCCATTTTAGAGAAGACTCCTGTTCAACTAGGTAGAGCGACATCGACTTTGATTTGCAAGAGGCCCCCCAAGGCGAGGACCGGGATCAACCTCAACCAGCCCAGGGGGAGAACAAAGCCAGCACCACAGAACACAAGAGTTCTGCTGTTAAACACAGTGCAGGATAGCGGGGCAGCGGCCCATCACACCACTCACCACCTGCGTAGACCTCAGCTATCAATATGCCAAACTAGGGGACCAGAACGTGCAGTAGTTTTGTAGTTTCAGTACCATCACCTCTGAGCACACAGGACTGCCACATCTAGGTGTCAAGAGGCAGATTAAGTTCTGATTTTGAGCCTTATAAGTTATAAGTATAAAACTGCAGAAGCTGATCATCCATGCAACCATAAAACATTGAGGTCTGGCCCGGCTGTTTTCTTATTTATAAAATAAATGCCCAGTGACATACTGTTGTGATCTGGTGCGGGCCATTGTAAATGCTCCCTTAGGTTCACAAATGTGAGAGAGCACTGATATTTGTCTGGCCCCCACCCAAGTCACAGATCACAAACTCCTCACTGCAGTGAGGGATTTCGATCTCCCCAACAGCCTGTGCAGTGGTATTGCACCCCCTCTGACCTAGAAGTCATGGTAATTGCCTGGCCTAAATGCTAAAGCAAGCCCTGTTCATCTTTTTCCAAGATGTGTGAAAAATCTAAACCTGTTTATAACTTTCACATAATCAAGAAAATGTAATTGGTTCTCCATTGTAAATGCAAAAAAAAGTTTAATTTTAAGTAACAAGTTGACCCATTTTCTCACACTTCACAAATGTCTCCCTTACCTTTCCAGGTGTACCTCCTACCAGTCCTTCTGCACTTCTTATCAAAATGTCTCATATAAAAATAGCCCAACTTGTCTTTTAGACGAGTTGGGGTAACTTTTTGAGGGCTGTTATTCCTGCTGTTTTAATAGCAAAACTGAAATTGGCAGTAAAGCAATCTGTTATAATTGCAAAAATTATTTTGTCAGGTATGTAATGTGAGCCATTACCCCTCCCCTTGCCCCAAAAACATTATATTTAATATTCTACAACAACAATAGGTAAGGATTACTGACAGAAAGTTGGGCATGCCATCGTGTAAATGGGCAGGCCTGCCCAAAAAGGGGACTCTGACTATCCCCATTTAGGGGAGACAATGCTTAAAGTACTGTTGAATTATTCGGATCAAAGTGAATGAATAACCCCAAAGTTACTAAGTGTGTAATGATAGGCTTGCACTATGTAGGTGATATTTCTCTGGTGACCGCATAAGCAGGAAACCAAGGAATAGGCCTGGGACAGTGGAGCGAACCCCAAATTTGATGGTCTCACCAGAATGGCATATTTGAAAGGTATGATATTCAAGGATTGTGGTTAAATATAAAGAGGGCTTGATGAATGCCACACTGGTGATACATTGTCTTGTCTACTAATAAATGCATGCTGAAATAAAGAAATTGAAAAAAATACCAATTTAGTATGGCGTATTAAAAGAATATTCAAATGGATTTATTTTAACAAGTAGTAGATATAGTTCCATTGAAAACACATTTAGCTACGCATTTTTTCATTGGGAGTATATGTAAAAATAGCAAGCAAAATGCAGATTGCTTGTCTGCAGACTTTGAAAACCCTCCCCTTCTAACCCCGCCTAGACTTTTTATGGCTGCTCAATCACAGACTTCCCAATACAATTCATTGAGAAGTCCTTGCAAGGTAGGTGCTCTGAGCAATTGCTGCCTCTTGAGTTATGCTCCACTGAGCTAACCAAACTAGGAAGTAAAATGATCTGGTGTGTGATTTACAGGGAAGGAGAGGGGTGGGAGGAGGGGCATCACAAGGTTAATTTATGAAAGTGTAAATTTCTATTGAAAACTTTATGTCAATTAGTCACACTAATTGCTTTGTGTCCAGTTCAAATATTTTAAAATGTGAAATGTCCACAATCCTTTATAATTCCCAGTTTAGGTAATAGTCAACAGTTCTCAACACACTTTTTTAAATTGAAAAAATGGGACACACATCACACATAAAGCATTTCAGCAAGCCAGTCCTTAAGGACTGAGCCAAAAAATGTTTAGTTCTACATGACATTCTAACTGTGAATGTCATAATACTGTTTGCTTTTACTGCAATAAAATACACATATTTGTATTCAGCGATGTCTCACGTGTAAAACAGTACCCCCTATGTACAGGTTTTATGGTGTTTTGGGAAGTTACATGGTCAAATATAGCATGTTACATTTTTTTCACGTTGAAATTCGCCAGACTGGTTACGTTGCCTTTGAGACCGTATGGTAGCCCAGGAATGAGAATTACCCCCATGATTGCATACCATTTGCAAAATTAGACAACCCAAGGTATTGCAAATGGGGTATGGACAGTCTTTTTTAGTAGCCACTTGGTCACAAACACTGGCCAAAATTAGTGTTAACATTTGTTTGTGTGAAATATGCAAAAAAACTAGTTTGAATGCCAATTTTGGCCAGTGTTTGTGTTTGTGTGTATATGTGTATATATATACTTAGATCATATATATAATAAATATATATATATCATCCAAGTATATATTATTTAATTTTACACTGTTTTAAACCTTTATCTTTTTTTCAGGCAGCAGGGGGAGTACCTGTCATTACGGCGGCGGGGACGTGCTATGAAAACAAACTTGTTTCCTGGCACTATAGGGTCTTTAGGTGCCTCCCTCCCGAAGGGGTTAAACTCTTACCTTTCTCCAGCGCCGGGGAACTCTCCTCCCTTTTCCAACGTCAGCATTACTCAATGCTTTCCTATGGACGTCAGCGTCTTCTCACTGTGATTTTCACAGTGAGAAGCGCGGAAGTGCCTCTAGCCTCTAGCGGCTGTCAGTGAGACAGCAACTAGAGGCTGGATTAACCCTCAGTGAAACATAGAGCAGTTTCAGTTTACAGCAGGCAGGGTTAACCCTAGAGGGACCTGGAACCCAGACCAATTCATTGAGCTGAAGTGGTCTGGGTGCCTATAGTGGTCCTTTAATTACTACAGTAGCGCAGAGTGTTCTTTTCACACACTGCTATAACAAACATATACTGGGTGGAAAATAATGTATCTGAGAGCCATAGAGTCAATAATTTGCACTTATATTTACATATCAATAGGTTAAAAAAAACTAACGTTAATTGAAGATGAATGCGTTCAGCAAGCTTTACCTATTCTAGCTGAAGGCATTATTTCAGAAAGCCCATTTTGAAAGTGATTACCAATGGATTAACCATCCCTTATTTTTATTTTTTTTCCTTTCTCCCCCGGGTATACCAAGATGGCGGCCGTTCCAGCTAGTCTCGGCCGTCGCGGGGGCGCGCACGGCCCCTCCCTCTTACGTACCTGGACACCTTACGCTCTCGGCTCGGCTGCGTGCTCGCGCTCCGTTTCTGGTCGGTTCCGTGCGAAGCTCAGTGATTCGGTGCTGCCTCTCATCATCAACATCATCATCATGAGCTCGGCCGGCGGCGGAGAGTTCGGGAACCCCCTGCGGAAATTCAAGCTGGTGTTCCTGGGGGAGCAAAGCGGTCAGAGCCCGGGGAGAGGAGAGGGGTGGTGGTTATGGTGTCTGTGTATATTATAGGATGTGACATGATGGGCAGAATCTGGCAGCAGGAGAGGCCCCGGTCATGTTTACATTGATATCAATGGGGACGATGGAGGCCTTTTATCTTCTAGACAGGACCAGCTGGAGGCTGGCAGAGCTGGGGGTGCTAGAGACAGGGCAGGTCTCAGGGATGTGTTTATATATAATATATAGTGCTCCTGACAGTGGGGGAGGGGGGTGTATTATACAGGAGAAGGGCTGTCTGCCAGTGATAATGTACAGTATGAATATGTCAGGGCATTCACAGGCTGTCTGTATAAAATATGCATTGATTACAACGTGGTATATTCATATATCTGTATTAGGGACCTGGTATACATATTATTCTACACAGGTTTATTTGTAGACTGTGTGTGTATATATATATATATTGGAAGATATGTTTTTTTGTGTCTTTTGTTTTTTTAGATATGTTGGCAACACCTTATTTTTATATAGTCAGTCAGACACAGTCCAGAGGTCTAGGTGTGCAGCCAAGCATTGGAATAGTGGAAGTGAGGCATTGCATTCACAATGGCATGGCTTGCTTTTGGATGCCAGACGTGGTTCTGAAATGTCAAAAGCAGACTACCTGGAGTTGTCATTCACGGCAGGCTCTAGAGTTTTACAGAGAATTCTATTCGGGGGTTGAAAACATTTTAGGGGTTATACCATTGTACAGTGCCACAGAACCTGTTGGTGCTATATAAATAATAATATGGCAAACCAGGAATTGAGAAGGGATTTGCATGTAAAAGGACAGCAAAATTTGTAGGACTTGTTTAATGGGCAATCCTAAAGACTTTATGCAATGGTTTGCCACTTACGGGACTCACCAGGTGCCCATCTGCCAAGAATGGTGGTTGAGCCACATACAGCTTCTGCAGAGGTGCTGGAGTTCAATACTGCCATTCATTTATTGGTTGAAAACATCAGTTAAGCAATGAATGAGCACCAGTACATAATAATTTTGTGCATAGCAAATGCACATAGTTAATATTAGCATGTAATGGAAGCAAAGTTCATTCAGACAGTCCAGAAAAGTGGAAAGGAATGCGTCCAAAAGCCAATATTTGTGTATATTTACACACTCACAGGTCAAAGAAGCAAAGGTCACTAGAGCCTGGCATCCAGGTAGAGTTAGTCTCAACAAACGTAGTAATCCAAGACAGTGGTATCACCAACTAACAGTGTCCACAGTAATGTCTGGTCAGTTAGAAATTAGTTAAAAATAAGCTTCTCCAGTGATTGGAACAAATTAAAACAACTTTTCTTCCAAAGGAAAATTTAAAAAAAATAGCATTCAAACACCTCGTAAAAGTACAAAAACAGATGAATGGATGAAAGTAATCCCCACATTACCTTCCTAACATTTTTTGTGCTGTGTGGCAATTAAAGGGAAACTATAGTTACTAGAACAACTACAGATTAAGTAGTTGTTTTGGTGTCTGTAGCCTGACCCTGTAGATATTTAAAAGGCCATGGTTACATTGCTGCCTAGTAACACATCTGGTGGTAGTCATTCAGACGGCCACTCTATATGCTTCCTAGATAAGGGCAGCACTGACGTTAAGAGAATCTACGCTCTGCATGGAGGCACTCAACGTTCCTCATAGAGCTGCAGAGATGCTGATTGGCGCAGAGCAGCGTCCTGACTTGCATGCACTATAGCCTCCCAGTCCTTTCCTGTGGGAAGACTTTGGATCGGCTGAGATCATAAAATTAATTCTCTGCTAAGAGACAGAGCTGCGACCAGAACCGGGCAGTACTTGAAAATTTTGATTAAAACACCTTCTCGCAGACTCTGAGATTAAACGTACATTATAGTCACCAAATCAACTTTAGCTTAATGAAGTTTTGTTGTATAGATCATACCTGTGAAGTCTCACTGTTCAAGTCTCTGCCATTCAGGAGTTAAATCACTTTTGTTTCTGCCCATGCAACCCTAGCCACACCACCTGACTATGACTGACACACAAACGGTTTAATTTTCAATCAGATAAGTTAACTTGCTTTAGAAGTTAAAAAAAAAAGTTTAATCTTTTTACTTTGGATTCAAAGTTATGTTTTAATCTGTTCTGAGTATTTGAGCAGCTCTTTTATTTTTTTTTTTTAAACTAGTTTTCAACTGACCATGCATTACTGCTGACATTGATCTTCTTTTCAACTAATTTCTAACTGACCAGGCATCACTGTGGACACTATTAGTCGGCTAAAGCACCCTCTGGGATGGTTAAGGAACGCTTATACCTCCAATAGCAACATTTAATATCTCTGTATGTGCAGAATTTTATACTAAAACATATTTTTTTACTTGCCACAACCTGTTCCTCACGGCGCTGCCATCTTCTTCTGTTAGGTCCTCTTCAGCTCCTAGCATTCTTCTGCCAGTAGCCCACATTAATGCTGTATGCTCACATATGCGCAAGAGTAAAACACTGTCTATGATGGAGACGGCAGGATCTTCCATAAAAAGTCTTCTTTCCCCCTCCCCCCCATGCTCCGCCTTTTGTTAAGCATTCACAAAATATTTGATACTTTTTCTTACCTTTTTTTTAACCTGGATGGCAATTTAGTGAAATTCCAACACAATCGTTAAGAGCATTTCATAAAGATTTAACTTACAGCAATGCTGTGCCAGTCTGGGCCTCGCAAAAGGTGGACAGTTGTTCAGCCAGTGGCCCACAGGGATATATCTATCACATATGTCAAAATGAAAAGCATCTGATTGGCAACCACATAAGCGCCCTTGGACTGCTGCTTAGAAAGCTGGTTGACATTAAATAATAAAAAAATGATTTTTATTAAAGGTGGATATAAACTTTAAAAGTCACGATATACCCTTTAAAAGGACAGTCTAGGTACCATAAGCATTTTATGTCGTTGTTATGGTTCCAATAATTTGTCTGTGCCAATCGTAGATGATTGGTCAAATTAGCTTTGAGAGGTTTAGCCACACATTTGCTCACAACAGTGGTGTGCACAAGGTTATCACAGAATTAACATTAAGTCAAATCTTGAAACAGAAGATAATACAGGGTACTACTTGAACTTCAAGAAAAGTACAACAAAGCGCATGGGAATGCAAGAAAAAAAAAGACATTGAAGATTTAAACATTAGTTTTGTCTGAAAAATCTCATTTTATGCTGCAACATGCAGATAATTGGGTCAGAATTTGGTGTAAAGGTTATGGATCAATTGTACTACTTCTGCCAGCAGTACAAACTTTTTGGGTAAATATTCTTGGCAAACATTGGATCTCTTATCAATTGAGAATCCTTTGTTACACAGGGTATTTAAAGAAACACTATTGGGCCAAGAACACAAACATGTATTCCTGACCCTAAAGTGTTAAAACAACCATATATTCTCCTCCCCCCATTCCTCACTTAATATAGTAAAATAGTACTTGTATTTAAGTCTGCTGCCTCTGCCCCTGATTATTATTTTATCATATAGCGACAGCAAATTCGGTAGCGTTGTACAATGGAATCTGCCTGCTTGGCTGACATAATCAGAAGTGATTGTGAGCCAATCACAATACTTTTCCATAGTATTGGCTGAGAGGCAGATCAGGTGCAGAGCCAGCACATGTCAAACCCAACCCTGGCCAATCAGCATCTCTTTATAGAGATACATTGAATCAATGCATATCTATGAGGAAAGTTCAATGTCTCCATGCAGGTGGAGACACTGAATGGCAGTGCTGCTTACTCCAGAGCTTGACAAATCCCAAGCACCAGGTCGCCATGGCGACTAAACATTTTGCCCGGCAGCCTGGGATTTGTCAGCTTTTTATCTAAAATGGACAGCTGGGCAAATAATCGAGCTGGCTTTATGGAGGCGGCCCGCTTAGGGAGCTCAGTGGAGCATTAAAGCGGTCGGCTGGGGCAGCGTGCGTGCCTCAGTCTCTGCCAGCGTCCGCCTCTGGCGGGCGTCAGTCTCAGTGGGTGTGTGTCTGTTTAGGTACCTGCCCCCTTCCGATCACATGATTGGGTTTTTTTTACTCACCTTTTTTGACCACGCCGTGGCTTGTCCCGCTTCCATTGCTGAGTTCGTCAATCTTTATGATCTCCCCTAAGCCAATGCTTTCCCATAGGAAAGCATTGGGAGGATATTGCGCATGCTCTGTATGGATAACATTCAGCGCCTCCATGCAGAGCACTGGCACAGGACTCTCTAGTGGCCGTCTGAGTGACAGCCACTAGAGGTCTTAGTAGGCAGCAATGTAAACACTGCCTTTTCTCTGAAAATTTAGTATTTACATTGAAAAGGCTACAGGGACAGGCTATAGGCACCAGAACCACTATATTAAGCTGTAGTGGTTCTGGTGGCTATAGTGCCCCTTTAAAAAAAACAAATAAAATGACTCCTAACTTTTTTAGCTGGCTTCTAGATTCCAAACAAATTTGTCAAGCCCTGGCTTACTCTGCAGCACTGCCCAAGGAAGCAGCTTTAGCAGCGACGTAAGGAGTGGCCAGCGGAGTTATCACTAGGCTGTAATGTAAACACTGCAGTTTTAATGAAAAGACAGTGCTTACTGCAAAGAGCCCTGAAGTGAATGATTCTACTCACTAGAACAAATACAATAAGCTGTAGTTGTTCTGGTGACTATAGTGTCCCTCTAAACATTGCTTCTGGCATCACTTGTTACTTCGTGTACAGTATACACATTTTTTAAAGGAATATTTCTGGCAGGGGAATGTTACCTGTCACCAAGAATGCATCATCTTTAGCTAGTTCCATGCAGATGAGTTTCTCATCAATGGGCTGCAGAGTATTCCAATCGCAACCAAATAGGGAGACTTTTTTTTTCTGATATGGTGGAATGGGAGATTGGCAGCATTAAAGGGACACTCCAGGCATCCAGACCACTTCTGCCCAGTGGAGTGGTCTGTGTTTCAACTCCCACCACCCTTAACCCTGCAAGTATAATCTGCAATAATTACCTTGCAGGGTTAAGTCCTCTCTTAGTGGCTCTCTATCAGACAACCACTAGAGGGACTTCCGTGTTCCTAAAACCCGAAAAGTGTATTAAACAACGCTGGACATCCTCACGCTATGCATGAGGACCTCCAGCATCGCTGGAATCCCCATTGGAAAGCATTAAATAATGCTTTCCTATGGGGAGGTCTAATGTGTGAGTGTGTGTGTTTGTATGCGTGCACGCGCACGGCCATTGTCCCGCATACGGCTGACATCGGCGGGGGCGGAGCGTGACCCAGCACCGAGGGACATCGGCGCTGGATTCAGGTAAGTCACTGAAGGGGTTTTAAAGGACTACTATAGGCACCCAGACCACTTCAGCTCAATGAAGTGGTATGGGTGCCAAGTCCCTCTAGGGTTAACCCTGCCTGCTGTAAACATAGTAGTTTCAGAGAAACTGCTATGTTTACACTAGGGTTAATCCAGCCTCTAATGGCTGTCTCATTGACAGCCGCTAGAGGCGCTTCAGCACTTCTCACTGTGATTTTCACAGTGAGAAGATGCCAGTGTCCATAGGAAAGCATTGAGAATGCTTTCCCATGGACTGAATGCACGCGCAGCTCTTGCCACGCATGCGCATTCAGCCGATGATGTCCAAAGAAGGAGAGTGTCCGGCGCTGGAGAAAGGTAAGTGTTTAACCCCTTCCTCCAACTTCAGCCTGGTGGGAGGGGGGACATGAGGCCATGAAACGAGGGTGGTTGTTTTTGTTTTTCTGGCACTATAGTGGTCCTTTAACCCCTTCAGCAACATGGAATGGGGGATGGGAGGGAGAAGGGGCACTGCAGGGTTCTGCAGTGCCAGGAGCTGGAGAGTCCCTTTAATATGTGACCAAAAACAAAAATCCACGAGGAATGTTTATGGCTCGTGGCTAAATAAAAGCTATGGGGAATGTGTGTTGTTTTAGCAGTAACTGCGGTCTAAGCAGCTGCAAATTAACTGTTATAGTGGCCACTGGCTATATATATATATATATATATATATATATATATCTCTATCTCTTATGGAGTACGGGGGGGGGAGAAATCTAGAGATGTAATATATGGAGTGGCCACACCATTGTGAGTAATGCATTATGGGAAAATTATGCAATCAAAGGGTACTGCATGCATTGTAATGAACCTTGAAACAGAAGTCTGAGTGTTATATAGATTTTTCCAGAACTTGGAAGTGATGTTATTTTGTAAGTGTCAAGGTAGTATAGAGATTAAAGAACCACTATAGTCACCCAGACCACTTGAGCTCAATGAAGTGGTCTGGGTGCCAGGTACCCCAGGTTTTAACCCTTCAGATGTAAACATAGCAGTTTCAGAGAAACTGCTATGTTTACATTGCAGGGTTAATCCAGCCTGTAATGGCTGTCTTCCTGACAGCCGCTAGAGGCACTTCTTCAACGCTGAATGTGAAAATCGCATTCAGCGTGCAGAACGTCCATAGGAAAGCATTGAAAAATGCTTTTCTATGGATGTTTATAATGCGCATGCGCATTCAGCTCCACTCGGGAGCGGATGTCGGAGTAGGAGGAGTGGTCACCGGCGCTGGATTAAAGTAAGTAGCTGAAGGGGTTTTAACCCCTTCAGCCCAGCGGGAAGGGGGCCCTAAGGGTTAAAACAGGTTTTGTTTTTTTTCCTCACACTATAGTGATCCTTTAATATATGGTGCAGGGGTAATGTCTCTTTGCTGAGCAAGAGTTACAGTCCTACGTGGCAGATATTACATGACTACCAGCAAGTCCCTTCAGTATTCTTTTACACAAATGAAAAGGACAAGTGTGATTGCTGTCAGCATGTTCAGTTAAAGGAACACTATAGTCACCTAAATTACTTTAGCTAAATAAAGCAGTTTTAGTGTATAGATCATTCCCCTGCAATTTCACTGCTCAATTCACTGTCATTTAGGAGTTAAATTACTTTTTCTGTTTATTCAGCCCTAGCCACACCTCCCCTGTCTATGATTGACAGAGCCTGCATGAAAAAAAAAAACTGGTTTCACTTTCAAACAGATGTAATTTACCTTAAATAATTGTATCTCAATCTCTAAATTGAACTTCAATCACATACAGGAGGCTCTTGCAGGGTCTAGCAAGCTATTAACAGAGCAGGGGATAAGAAAATCTTAATTAAACAGAACTTGCAATAAAGAAAGCCTAAATAGGGCTCTCTTGACAGGAAGTGTTTATGGAAGGCTGTGCAAGTCACATGCAGGGAGGTGTGACTAGGGTTCATAAACAAAGGCATTTAACTCCTAAATGGCAGAGGATTGAGCAGTGAGGCTGCAGGGGCATGTTCTATACACCAAAACTCTTCATTAAGCTAAAGTTGTTCAGGTGACTATAGTGTCCCTTTAATGCCAAATTTCTGCAAAATTGTGGGAATCGGCCTAAAGATCACGATAATCTGTATCCGCATCGGCCCTGGAAAAAGTGTTCCATTCCACATGCTAGCCCTGAATCACAGCTGAGCTTGATCTGCTCAGTCACTATGTTGTGGTTTTAAATTGCTGCACACAGCTCATCTGCCGGCATGGGGCCACTTACCGAGATGCTGTCACTAGTGACGGCTGTGAAAAGTGTCGAAACTTAAAGGACCACTATAGTACCCTGAGGGTGCCCCCACCCTCAGGGACCCCCTCCCGCCCGGCTCTGGAAGGGGGAAAGGGGTAAAAACTTACCTTTTTCCAGCGCTGGGCGGGTAGCTCTCCTCCTCCGTTCCTCCCCGTCGGCTGAATGCGCACGCGCGGCAAGAGCTGCGCGCGCATTCAGCCGGTCGCATAGGAAAGCATTATCAGTGCTTTCCTATGGACGCCGGCGTGCTCTCACTGTGAAAATCACAGTGAGAAGCACGCAAGCGCCTCTAGCGGCTGTCAATGAGACAGCCGCTAGAGGCTTTGGGGGAAGGCTTAACCCATTCATAAACATAGCAGTTTCTCTGAAACTGCTATGTTTATAAAAGAATGGGTTAATCCTAGCTGGACCTGGCACCCAGACCACTTAATTAAGCTGAAGTGGTCTGGGTGCCTAGAGTGGTCCTTTAACTGTGGTTGCTCTACCCTTCCCATAAAACACAGTGTTATAAGACAAAGTGGGGACTGCAAAATGCTCAAATTTGTTGTTTTTGTTTAGATTTTTTGCCCTGGGTGAAAGTTGCTTGTTGCTTGGTCAAGTATAGGTTATAGTGATTTGCTATGCATGTATGATTAATGGAGTAACAACCTGTCCCCCAAAACATTGTTTGGAATCTAGAAGCCAGCTAAAAAACATTACTTTAATTGGACTTTTACTGTCTGACCTGAAGATAAGGAATGTTCAGACTATTTATTTGTTTGCATACTTTGTTTTGCACAGGGTCATTCAATTTACAAAAGCTTTTCACATTTTCACTTTTTTGTCCTCCTGGCAGTTTTCAGTAAGAAGATTATAGTTGATCTGTATCAGTGGAGGTTGGAAGGTCATAGATCAGCTAAGGGGAATTATGGACAGCTTTGTCTGGTGGGATACGCGTGACTGGATTATTGTTTTGTACACGTGTGTGTGGTGTATGGAGAATTCAAAAGGTTTTCTTTGCTCATGAATTCTCACTGGTGTTTTATTTGATAAGGGACCGGATGAAAGTTTGATTAGTGTTCCAAGTTGTGTAATTGGAGGAGGTAAAGGTGTTTAAATATGTGCTTATTGACTAGGGCAATCCAGATGTGATGGATTGCCAGCATTATGGATGTAACTTGGGTTAGATTAATAGTTTTGGAAGACTGAAAAAATGGTCTCTACACAAAATAATAAAGCGGGTTACTCAAAATTATTTGCTGCTAATGCACTCAGGCTTGTAAAAATAGACAGCGTTCTCTGGGCCATCAATAATTACGAGCAAGTGTGCTACCTTCCATCAAGCCATATGTGACAATGTTAAAAGTTAATATATAAAGCCTGACTTCTAAGCCAGTGGTAGGCAACATACGGCACTCATGATGTCATGGACTACATCTCGCCTGATGCTTTGCCAGCATTCTGTATGTAAGAGCATTATGAGAGATGTAGTCAACATCTAGTGTTGAAGGTTGTCTCCCCCTGCTCTAAGTAGTAAGAATGGTCACTCCATACCCTTGAAGCTTTAAAGTGAAATCTGCCTTTTTTATACTCCTCCTAAATTGAAGTGTTAATGGCATGCCCTGTCTCCAAATGATAATCTGTGAGAATCATTGGAATGACCAGGAGGTCAACAGTACTGATCCTATAGATAATGAGTGTACCCTCTCACAGCTGGATTAGAGCTAAGAAACTCTCTATAATACAGGTGCTGAATAGCATTTATTTTAAATATGAGCTACATATCGAAGACCTAAAATACCCTAGTATAAAATAGTGTGTGTGTGTATATATATATATATATATATATTATTTATTTATTTATTTGATGATGCTTTGCTAATTCTTTTAGTTGATCATCTCACCCTTCCCCCACCTTAATGCCTGCATACATGAGGTACAGTTTATATTATTTGCACTATACAGGGCCTGTATGCTATAGCATCTTACAAATTGTCAGTGTGCAATACCAGAGGAAGGTAATCTTTGGCACTCCAGATGTTGTAGCTCTCCCAAAATGTTCTTATAACCACAATGCTGACAAAGCATCAGGGGAGATGTCCACAAAAATGGCTTCCTATCTGTGTTCTATGCCTAGTGACCTTTGAACCCTCCTGATTTTAAGAATGCATTAAAGTAACAAGCACCATCACCACCGCTGCATGCTTTATTGGTTATGGTGCTAGGAGAGCACTGTCACCCTCCCATTGTAAGAAGTCATATTATTTTAGAGTGGCTTAGCATACCTGGGGACCGCTGAGCACCGCTCCCTACCTTTACTACAGCTAAAAGTGTCAGATGCTCTTACTTTGCAAGTCCTTCATTGCAAGGCTAGCTCAATGGCTGAAAGTGACAGTGGTTTATCAGGGCACTACCGGCACCATAACCACTACATCATAATGTAGTGGCTGTGATGCTTGAATTGCTCCAATAATAAAATTTCTCATTCAAACTTTAATACTGTGAGAGGGGAGGGAAGTGCAACTTGCTATTTCAAGTTCCTTGCATCAATTAATATGGTCAGCCTGGCAGTACATTTTTACTGTCTGAAATAAATTAAGCCCATAAATAATCTTGTTGTTCTTTGCTGTCTAACTGTAATGTGTTGTGTGATGCAAGATGAAGGTAAACATTTGTATAGACAGTTTTGGAACCAGATTTTTTTTTTTTTTAAACTTAACACATACTTTTTATGTTGTATTGCTTTATTTTATTTTGTTTTGTTCAAGTGGCAGGGTACTGTGTTTATGTAATCATGGTTGCTTTAGCAATGATGTCTGCTTTTTGTCTTATGCAGTTGGGAAAACCTCTCTCATCACCCGATTCATGTATGACAGCTTTGACAACACATACCAGGTGAGTGACTCCGGCTTTAGCAGTAAAACGTCAGTTAAGACTCATTAATTTATCGTTGTAAAAGATTAATCCAGACTGAGGATTACACAGTACATGATGTTCTTATTGTCGTTTCTAATTACCTGCCAACTGTATGCTGTCTGGCCGTAATCACCATTTGAGTGCAAAAAATTTAAAAAGTCAACAAATACCTCAAGTGTAAAGCCTCTGTACAATTGTGTATCGGATGCCAAACAACATAGAAGTCATTATGGACATTGTTGAATATTTACAAATAATTAAAAGCTTTAGTTTTGAATTGCATAGTAACTTGTGATTCTAAAAAGGATGGGTTTTCTAATGTCTTTGTAAACACAGGGACATAGTAGATTGAGGGAAAGACAATAGTGCTATTTCCCAAATAATGCATTAACAAAGCCTACTTGAGACTGCTTTGTACTATTTATCTCTATAAGGACGGAGTACGAGTTCTGAACTAAAACAAAATGTAGAATTTGAGCTATATGTTTGTGCAACAATAATTCACCACTTTCACATGAAGTCCCCCCTATATATCATTTTGTTCAAGAGAAAGTATGCTTTTATTTCACTATATATATATATATATATATATATATATATATATATATATTTATATATATATATATTTATGAAACATAATGTAATATGAATAAAAGCTTTAAAAAGGTGTGAGAAAATACAAAATGTAAGTTTTGCAATGCATGTTAACTGTGAATGTCATACTGTTAGCATTTACTGCAATAAAATACACATATTTGTATGCTGTAATGTCCCACGAGTGCAACGATGGCCCCCCATGTACAGGTTTCATGGAGTTTTGGAAAGTTACAGGGTAAAATATTGGGCTTGCCCATTTCAATTTTTACACATTTAAATTTGCCAGATTGGTTTGCTGGGCCTCTGTTGTCTTAGACTGTATGGCAGCCCAGGAATGAAAAATAACATCAGCATTATACATTTTACTGCTCTAAAACACTATTACTTATGTTCAGCTTAGTCTCACTAGTACAACAGTACTCTCCATGACCTTTTCAGCCTTTATACCTGGACATTTGACAAAGTGATTTTCTGGGCCTACGTCACCTTTGAGAGAGTTTGGCAGTCTGAATAATAATTTTCCACCGTTACGGCATACAATTTTCAAAAGTGGGAAACGCAGAGTACTCCAAATGGCATATTTTAAGATGTTTGATCTAGCCACTTTATGCAGGCCCTATTTTGTGGTTATATTTTTCATTTGGGGTTTTTTCACACTCATGAATACCATTCTCACAGAACAATTCATAATCCTGATGCGTAAGTGTAATAACGCCTCAATATTTTTACTTGGCATTGTGTCAACAAAAAATCGGCAATTTTGATGTCACCGAGGAAGCGGATTGGTGGTGTTTGCCTGTGAAACTGTCTGCCTGCTGACAACATCAGAAGTGGTGGTCTGAGACAATCACAATGCTTTCCAGTAGGATTGGCTGAGACTGTCAAGGAGGCAAATCAGCCAGCACAAGTCAAACACAGCCCTGGCCAATCAGCATCTCCTCATAGAGCTGAATTGAATCAGTGCATCTCTATGAGGAAAATTCAGTGTCTGCATGCAGAGGGTGGAGACACTGAACGTTGTGATGCATGCTAGGCAGGACTGCTTAAGGAAGCCCCTTTAGCAGCCAACTAAGGAGTGGCCAGTGGAGTTGTCACTAGGCTGTATTGTAAACACTGCATTTACCCTGAAAAGACAGTGTTTACTGCAAAAAACCTGAAGTGAATGATTCTACGCGCCAGAACAAATGCGATAAGCTGTAGTTGTTCTGGTGACTATAGTGTCCCTTTAAACAGGGACAGGGCAAGGTTAGGGGAATCCAGACATCAAGAGGTTTTTGGTATATCAAGCCAATACGTCAGTACAGGCAGCTAACAAAGATTAATCAGGACAAGAATCCATAATAATCAAACTAACAAAGTCACATACAGAGTGATTCAACAGTTCAGTTCTCTGTATGGTAAAGTGAAAAGGCCTGTTATGCAGAGGGCAGCTAGAGATGGGCAGGAATGGACGTAATTTCTAGAGTTCTCTCAAACCCTTTCTTATAAACTTGACACTTTCTCTGGGATGACTTTTGCAGGGTGTGGAGGGGATTTAGGAAGGAACATGCTTGATACAAACTCACTGCACATCCTCTGATTCCAAAGAGGGACTATTGAGGGACTGGGTAAATAAAATATCGTACAAAAGTTTTAACATAAAAGCAAGATATGACTTCCCTGTGAATATTGATGTGGATATTGGTCATCTTGACATGCTGCCTGTTTTTATTTTAGGCTACAATTGGAATAGACTTCCTCTCGAAGACAATGTATCTGGAGGACCGCACGGTGAGTAAACAGCCTTCTGTGTCAATATCGGTGATAAGCTCCACGTATCTTGCAAAACAAATTGATTTAAGTTTTAAAGACTTGTGGATAAAATAGATTTGGTATAATTATGCTGACACATTGTTGCTCTCTTCAGATTTTTGGTACTTTTTTCAGTGGATTTATCATAGATTGCAGGACACTTGTATTCTCTCCCTTATTCCCGACCCAGTTTTGCTTTTGTCAAACATGGCATTGTCCCCCTATAGAGCATCGTTTTATCTATACTGTAATTTGTGCTAGCAAATGAATAAATGGAAAGTTTTGGGGTTGTTTTTTTTCAAATGCCTCTTAAAGCTGCAAGTATGGAGGTCATGTAGGTCGCATGCAGCTATACTTGCATGCTACAAATTGTGGGAAGCCACGCACATTATAGTACACAGTATTGTATACTACACTCAAGGAAGAGATCTTTTAATCTATAAACTTACTGGTGAATTTACTAGCACAGTCTGTAGACTAAATCGGTACACACCTGGAAGTGAAATTAGTCTAGACCAGGAGAGAAGAAACCTTTCCACCTACAAAAAAAGGATCCTTTATTCAAGTAAAGTGTACATCACAGCTTGGCCATGCCAAGGCAAAACCTGGATTAGTTCGTGCCTACTCTGGTACTAAGGGTGGAGTAGGCACAAAACATGTCAGAATTCATCCAGCACTTCCTTCTGTATGCCCTAGTCGTCATGTACACTTTACTTAAATAAAGGATTTTTTTAGTTTGTTTTTTGTTCATTGAGGTGTTTCCTTTCTCATTATGGAGGAATCCAGCAAACTAGTCAAATTTCAAGTCTCAACCACTAACAGAACCTGCATGCTTCTCTCCCAGGACTAAGGTACATTTTAATTCCTGTGTTTTATACTCTGCGTTTGTTCTTATTGCCTCCGGTGATTTAATTTTTTTTTTAGTTTGTGAAGATTTCACACCTGACATTGAACTTTTCGTCAACTATATTTTGAGTTAAAATGACACTCCAGATGCTGATAGCGCTTTAGCTTGCTGAAAGGATTTATGTGTGATGTTAGTCTTCTTTTATTCATTTCAAAAAGTGCAGATTTCAATAGAAAGTTACAGTTTTATAATTCAGCCTGGTTACACCCCTTGGCTTTCAAGCACACAACAGGTCCTGTTACATCTTGGTTTTGTTAACTCAATGGAGATAAACTCATGAGGTATCAAATATGTCTTTGTCCCGCCCTCAGCCCCTCTGTGTGTGTCTTTGTCCCGCCCTCAGCCCCTCTGTGTGTGTCTTTGTCCCGCCCTCAGCCCCTCTGTGTGTGTCTTTGTCCCGCCCTCAGCCCCTCTGTGTGTGTCTTTCTCCCGCCCTCAGCCCCTCTGTGTGTGTCTTTGTCCCGCCCTCAGCCCCTCTGTGTGTGTCTTTGTCCCGCCCTCTGCGTGTGTGTGTGTCTTTGTCCTGCCCTTTCATCCTGATGAAAGTCCACAAGGACCGAAACGTTGATCCAATTTTAAGATGAACCTAATAAAGCATTGAAGATTTTATCACAGACCGTGAGTGCAGCTGACGTTTGTTGATATATGTGCACTTTTGTAAAATAAAGGGTTACACCATTCATTTAAAATCAAGCTAAAGTGCTTTAGGTGTCTGGAGTGTCCCTTTAAGGAAACATTTGTTGTACATGTTAACGTTATTTAATTAAAAATATAAAAAAAATTATTTTTATATTTATATGCTATAATTCTGTATCCGTCTCTCTCTTGCTATCTCCGGAATATTACCAGCAGGTGCGACTGCAGCTCTGGGACACAGCCGGACAGGAGAGATTCCGCAGTTTGATCCCTAGCTACATCCGTGATTCCACCATTGCAGTAGTGGTGTATGATATCACAAGTGAGTATGAAAAAAAATATTTTAGAATTTTGAATATATAGAACACACGCATAAAGCGATGCAAAAAAATATTTTACAAGATTCAAGTAAAAAATGTCTGCAGCAGGCATCTGTGGTGTGCCAGCAACATCTTGTTAAACAACATTGAAATGTGCAGTGTGAAACTGCCAGAATAGAAACCATTCAACGAAGAATCGTCACACAGGAAAAGGGATACGTACATATTACTGGACCTTAGAGTGGTTGGCCTTAACATAAAAACCACTATGTCTTGGTCAGGAGTACATAAATCAGTGTGGACAAGGGAGGAACAAAAACAAGTTAACAAACCATATACAATTCGCAGAAGGAAACCATAACATGGCACTGAACAAATGTAAAGCTCAATTATTTATAGGCCTGGGTGTTTATTTCATAGCCACACACCAAACACGAGTGGGTGCTAACAATGATGTGATGATGCCATGGAGTGGGTTTGTCTTAATGTCATGAAAGGTGCAGAGGTACAGTATCCAGAATCAGAAATGCTAGCAGAGGTCTCTAAAGGGTTTTGGAATTGATGTAGTGCCTATTTGGTGAGTGGGTTAGTGCAAGTGTATGTATGAAACTTAAAGAATATTTTTATATTAGTAGTATTCAGTCTTATCAAATTGCGTGGCACATAAAAGAGAAGCAACAGAAAAATAAACCTAGTATTACATAACCAACATATATATGTACGTTTGTATTGGAATTGCACAATGTACAATCAGGTTGAATGCTGTTAGGAATTAAAGGAACACTATAGTGTCAGGATACAAACATTTATTCCTTACACAATATTCCTGATGTGGTATTTTAAGTGACTGGCCCCACTCTATTCATTGCGAAAATGTGATTTTACTCACCTTTTCTCCCACTCCAAACTGGTCTCACCACTGCTGGCTCCGCCTCCATGGCTGATAAAATTAATCTTGATGATCTTATCCAATCCTTTCCCATAAGAAAGCATTAGGTGGCAAATCATCGCTCTGCTGCATTCAGCATCTCCTTATAGAGATGCATTTAATGAATTCATGCAGAGCGTGGAGATGCTGAATGCCAGTGCTGTGCAATGTGCAGCACTGGATTAGGAAGCACCTCTAGTGGCCGTCTGATTGAAAAAGCAGTGTTTACATTGAAAAGTTTGACACTTTAAGTTGTACTGGGTCTGGTGACCATAGTGTCCTTTTAGGCCCATTCATGAGTGAGCCTTTACCCAAATGCTGTCATTTTGTGATACAGGCATTTTTATTTATTTTTACCATTTTTGCGGTGTTCCTGTCACCATAATTTAACACTTTCCCTTTAAAAAAAATGGTATATATTATGTATGGATAAAGAATAGATAGGGCTTTCTTCTGATATGATATAGGTATACTAACAATACTCGTTATGAACAAAAGTTTTATTTTTTTGTTTTATTTCTCCCCTTGTCATGGGACAGTAATTGGTTCTGATTGCAAGAAAGATGGATGCTTAAAACTGCAACAAACTGCAGCCACAGGATATAAACATGTCTAGCTAAAATATAACAAATGCAAATAAAAATGTTAGTGAAATTAAAAATTGTTTTTAATCATAACGCCGTTCAACCAAAAGTTGCTTGAAGTTGCATCACTGGTTCAACACTGCTGTATTCTCGCAGGCCTGTGTTAAAGATCCCAGAAGACTACGGACACTGGGATTGTTCCATTCTTAATTTATAGTAGCTTCAATTATGTGTGTGTCTTTAAGCTTAAATTTAACAATTGACTATTAAAGAAATATTCCAGGTTGGGGTGTAACCATTTTCTAATGCATTGTACAAATAATGCATTAAAAATATATACAAAAATTAAAAGTAGATGACCGAGCCACTCTGAATGTATTTTTTCTACATCATTCTTTGCATATTTTGCCAAGATCCCAACCTGCCGCTCTGGGGGTGGAGCATGGGTGAGTTATACTTACTTGATGCCATCACTTGTAGCTGCCACCATCTTCAGTCTGCAACTCTTGGTGCTTCATCTGCAAGTAAGCTCATGGAGGTGTTTCAGCATAATAAAATATGATTTTAGCGACTTAGGATAGTTAGAAAAAAAAAAAGGGTAAAAAACCTTGTGTAAGTATCTGCTTGAGATTCAGATATCTGGAAGAAGGTCTTTCATTGCCATATAAGGGGAAACAGGCTTGTGGCAAAAAGAGTATGATCGCCAGAGTGTATTCTTTCCCTTCTTGATTCCTTCCACAATCTCCACTGGAAGATATATCCCAGTCTCTATTGGCAAGAAAGGGTGTCCACTCAATCTGCCAGAGTGTGGAAACTGCAAGACCTAAAATGTTGCACTTGTCTTTTTAAAAAGATGCCATTAGTTTGGGGGAGGCGAACTTACTCAGAAAGTCTGCTTCTTGGGGGCAGGGCTTATGCTCAATGGCGGCTGTCAGCATTTCATGTGAGCCCCTCACACAGCTCTTATAATTGCACAACTCTCAGCTTGCCAAACAGATTTATTCCGCGAGTTACCTACCTCTGGTGCCACAAGGGGTGTTTTGGTTTATCTTTAAGTGCCTGCTACTGCATACCCCAGAGGATCAAATGGTGCCTAGTTGAGTCGCCGGACAGGAGAGGCACCCTCACGGATCTTAAAAGCTGACACGTTCACCCCCACTATGGGCAAAGCCCATGTACAAGCGCCTTTACCCTTCAACACCTGCCCGTCTTGGATGAAGGCTGTTAGGGGTTTGACCCCATTGCACCACCCACGCAGACGGAAGAACGATTGCCGCCAGAGATGACTGACCACCGAGGTCTTATGCAATTTTCCAAAAGGGAAGGACTTAGAAGCAAGCTGGGCCATCCTTTCAGCTCCAGGCTTGATCGAAGGTCTACATTGTCAAGCCACAAACTTGGGGGAACTTTGAGTCTATCTTGCAGCTCCCCCAGGCGGCTTGTACATTAGTCCTGTGTCTGCCCAACCTGGGAATGGGCTGAAAAAGCACTAACCCGATCTGCTAGCTTGTTTTATTTGCAGTTCCTTTATTTTCTATTGACGCTGCCTCGCGATGTTTATCGTACATATTTTTGCTAAAATGTCCTTACAAACTTATATGCCTAACTATTAAATTGGGCAGACTAGATGGGCTGAATGGTTCATATCTACCGTCACATTCTGTGTTTCTACGCACTTAAAAAAAAAAAATTTAAAAAAAAGTCCAAAATAAATAGCCTGCTTTTTTTGTTTCTCGCTCCCTGGTGGGTGGTTAGAAGTCTGATACTGTAAATTACATTGTGCCCAATCCATGTGAGGGTACAGGAGCTATTCTTGTCTCTTGCTCCTGGTTCTACCAGAGTTGTTTAGGTAGGCAACCATGGTAGTATTGTGCACTTGTATTTTGACCCATCAGTGTTAAATATCCGGTGCACAATTGCTTGGGAAATTGCACAAAGCACCAGGAGATGACATGAGATCTCCAATCAAGTGAGGCTATTAGCACTGGGTGTACTATGTTCCCCGGTGTTCTCATCAATCTGACTGCAGTGCATACGATGCCAGAACTCTTGAAGGAATCACTTTAAAAGGAAACTCTTTGAACAGGTTGCAATTCTCGACCCACCAATAGTTATTTGTTTGACACACTGGATGCCTCTCTGTTTCTTTTGGTTCAGAAAACGTGGGCCATTGAACTCATTTTATAAATTTCGTAATATTAACAAACCATACCATACTCTTGTAGCATGGATAGTGGTATGCCCCGTGTGCATCCATCAAGATTTTGCTATAACCAACACATTGTCAAAGTAGTTTATAATGCAGTTTGCTTGAAGCCCGATCTTTGTAATTGGTCACCAAAACTCTGAAGAACAACCTAAGGGTGGTGCAGTGGTCGTATCAGTGATTGAAATTTTGACTGAGATTTCCTTAGTGTGAAGCTAAGGAAGCGCTGATGAATGTATAAGTAGGTGTCCTTCAAATCAGTAGACAAAGACCAGTCTCTCAGGGACACCACTTTAATGATAAGGCCTAGAATTTCAAGAAAGCGTTCAATCTGTGTAAGTCTAGAATAGGTCTTCACTCTGCCTTCCCTGTTTGAACAAGGAGAATGCAAGAGTAAAATCCTTAGCGACCATCTGCTCAAGGAACTGGGCATGACTCATTATAAAATGATAACAGTAGTGCTCTTCTAGAAGTTTTCATTTTCCCAACTCTACTGGAAAGTGACTCAGAATCTTGATGGAGGAGAATCTTTAAGTTTCAGGTAATGTTGTATGAAATAATCTTCCTGGCTTCTGGAACTGTTTGAATTTCAGACCTGGTGACAGTAAGAAAGTATACAGAATAAACATACCTGCAAAAGACCGAATATAGCTGTCACCAGAGCAAAGCAAGGGCCTCTGTAGCTCCACAATTACCCATGTTTCAAGATTTCTAGCTTCACAGCTGCCAAGAAAAATGTGAGGAATGCAGCAAAATCCATAAAACCAAGCTGCAATAAGCACCCAGCATATAAATTGAAGCTGACAGAACCCAGAAATTGCCACAACTTTGAAATTTCTTCACCCTGGTAGGGGGAACACAGTGGGACTTCTCCAGAATATACTCACAAATATGTCTCTACCTTACAGAGTCACTCCAGCTGTTCCCAGTTAAATGGGAAAATCTCTTCTGGATATTGCCAGGAAAGTGTTATGCCACTGTGCATAGTTCAAGAATTGTATGCACCCTTTTAATTTCATTGAAGTTAATATTTGTTTATATTATTTTGTTCACCTTGAATTGTTTGTCTGGTTCATCATGCACAGATCTAAACTCATTCCAGCAGACATCCAAATGGATAGATGATGTCCGGACAGAGCGGGGAAGTGATGTCATTATCATGCTTGTGGGGAATAAAACAGATCTGGCAGATAAAAGGTAAATGCAAAAGATGTTCAGATCAACAGATTACTGGTGCTGTTCATAACTCACTTAAAGTACTATTGTACTACAAGCTATTGTTTCAGGAGTCTCAACGGGTTCTGTCTGTAATGTTTAACTTATTTGTAGTTGGTGGTTTTATGTGTAAAAGACTTCATCAGCGTTATTTACTAAAGTGAAATTCAAAGTGAATTTAAGATTTAAGACCAAAATAGCCGACCTGGAAAAATTCTCCTAGTCTGCAATGTTTCAAGTTTGGCAACCTGGACCATAAATTTTAAATTCATTTTGAATGTCTTCACTTTCGCTAATTACCTGCATATGTTGTTCCAGCAATTTTTCATGATGCTGGAGAGTTTTTGTTTTTCTCTATCCAGGTTCCTTACTTAACCACTTAGCCGAATTGCCTCTTTGTATTACATTTATATTTTTATACGTTTGCTACTCATTCATCTTTTCTTTTATTTCTCTTTTATCATGTCATTGTTTGAAAGCTTGCCCAGTGGTACTGCTACATGTTGTGCACACACAGTTAAACATACTTGTGCTGCAGTTAATGAGAGCACATGTGATGTGCATGAATGTAGTACTTCCTGCTGGATCTTACTTTGCATGAATTCTGATTTGTTTTATCCTTGTTTTCTTCACTCCTGCAGTCATCCTCTTCACCTCTTTTGTATCTTTGCTGTTTCTTTCATCATCTTAGTTTCCTTTTTGATTTGGTCATTTTTATTTTTGAGTCATTTGGTTTTGTTCCATTGATATAGACAGGTTTCTGTACAGAGGGCGACAGGCAACTCGGGGACTGCATGCCTTGTATATTGAAAAGAATTCTAAAGCAGGATGTATTAGCACACAGGTACGTTCGTTAATTGCTGCCCTAGCCAAGAACAGCTTTCTTCACCTGTTTTGTCAACCACTCAACTAAAGATGATAAAGGAGGCTCTTTGAATCATTGTACACAAATCGAATACTCAAACTAAAAAGCCTAACATGTAATGTTTACATTGTGTTTGGAAAAAGAAAGTGTGTATGTATATATAAAATGCTGTTCTTAAAGGCAACACACAGGCCAGGTAATAGCAAACTAGGAATTTCTTTACTTCCTCTTTGTGCTGCCAGATTTGTCCAATTTGTACATATGGAGAGCAGTCACAGCTCTTGCCACATAGCATAATATAGCTGCTGTCTGTTTATTAAGAAGTTCCACTCATCCTGTTAGATACTTTGATCTTTCTCCTCGTATTGAAGGGGTTATTGGCATAAATTGTCCAAAAGCTGGTTCTCTTCTGTTTATTTTCCTCTTCAAACTGTTTACATTTCTGGTTTTAGACAAATCACTACTGAAGAAGGGGAACAAAGAGCCAAGGAGCTGAGTGTTATGTTCATTGAAACTAGCGCAAAGACAGGTTACAATGTAAAGCAGGTAATGTTTTGTAGAAAGTACTTTTTTTTTGTTTGTTTTTTTGGTTTTAGGAAAGCACTAAAGTTTGTAAAACTTGAGTTTGGTTTTGGATGGATGCAAATTTGTCTATCGTTTCTTGATGCTCAAGTCCTTATATGCCTCACGTAAACCAAAATAACGCTGATTGCCTGCTCCACAGCCCCATCACATATAATAATAATCACTGTGGCTTTAGTGATATAGAGCATGCAGCCAGCGTAATAATTTAAAAGTAGACTGTGACTAAATAGGACTGGATGGTCAAATATAAATTGCTGAAAATGTAATCATTTGTGCCTTTTATTGACTGCCTACTATATATGTACACAGATTATCCACAATATTAAAACCATGGGGCAGCTGAACTGAATAACATTTTATGTTATATCGTTACAATGGCACCTGTTAATGGGTGGGATATATTATTCCGCAAGTGAACATTTAGTTCTTGAATTTCCTGTATTGGAAGCCAAAAAAATGGCAAGCAAGATGTTCTGAATGACTTTGAAAGGGGCCAGATAGTGATTATCACGAATGCACCCTACTCAAAGTGTGTGTGCACGGTTCTGGTGGTGAAAGGGTTAAAATTCACTATTTGTCTGCACTCGACCAGAAATAATGATGATAATTCCCCCTTAACACAACCCACACTTAATTCTTTTAATATAAATATTACTATATTATAACACTGCCACCACCAAGACAATTTCTAAATGGGATACCTTGGTTCCCCAAGGAAATTAAAATACAAACCAACCAAATAAGTTAGCGCAATATCTATGCAATTTCAAAATACTAATAAATTGATCTAATCAGGTAACGTGAGTCTTTACCAGACAAAGACAGAACTTAATAAAGGAATATTTATTATGAACAAACAGTCACAGTGCATATAAAAAAAACAAAAAAACAAGATGACCAACAAATGAATTACACCAGTCAACAATAATAATAAAAAGGAGAACTTAACAGAAAAACCTAACTACTCACTTAGGTGGTAAAGTAACAGTATTCTGTGGGGGGAGCGTGGGAGTAGGTCTCCTGGGCGGCAGCAATGACCACAGTACACATCAGCTCCAATACATATAGTAAAAACTAAAGAAAAAGTTACCTGCGCTCTTTGGTTTCTTTTTTTGGTTTTTACTATATGTATTGGAGCTGATGTGTACTGTGGTCATTGCTGCCGCCCAGGAGACCCTCTTCCCACCCTCTCCCCACAGTGCAGAGAATACTGTTACTTGACCGCCTCGCAGTCGTTGCTGCCGCCAAGGCGTGATGGGAGTGAGCGCAGGACTTCTTTTTCTATTTGTATTTACTTTTTGTATCACACAGCTAGGTTACAATGCTGCCGCCCATCCCATGTGTTCCCTATTAATGGATAATACGTATATAGGGGTGTATATAAAAAAATACCCCTTTCTGTCTCATTAGAGATCTCTTTGCCAGAGGCTCAAGGAAGCAAGATGAAGGGTCAGTGTTGGACCCGTCTAGGGGGGGGGTCTGCCTTGATGTTGGCAGGCGGGCATTCCCTCCAGGAGCCATTGGAGTAACTAAATGACCTCCATTTGTTTAACCCCTTAAGGACCAAACTTCTGAAATAAAAGGGAATCATGACATGTCACACGTCATGTGTCCTTAAGGGGTTAAATACACATAGAGATTAATGAGAGAGCGCAGGTAACTTTTTTTTTTTTTCTTCTTTGGTTTTTACTAATCTAAATAGAAACTTTGATTTTATCTCCTCTTGCCACAGAATTATTTGCATCTATACATTTGTCATACTTCCTATTTATGACCTTTATATAGCAGACTTCACAATTCCTTCAAAACGGCTTATACTTTTTGTAGTTGTGCTCTCTAAATATGCACAAAAGGAGACATGATTAATAATCTGTGGGTTATCATCCATGTTTCTTTCGCATATGACTATGACAAACAATTGTCTCCTCAATACGATCGGTCATAAGAATATCAAACCAATCCATTATCTGTGAGGAGATATAGGCATATGGTGAAATAGTTAGTTTACATAGACAAAGACTCAGAGGCAACTCATATGTAACATTTCACATCTTTGAGGGGCTATGGAGTCACAGCTTCAAAAGAGCTGTAAACCTTCTGTTGTATACCATATTCCTAGATACTTTCTCATATTATCCTCTACCATCAAATTGGCCATAACACCTCTACCAAGCAGACAATTCATGTACAAACTACACAAATCACATTCAATATCAATATTCTATAATGCATAGTGGTGTGACACTGATGGCTAGACCTCTCCAAAATGGCAAGTATTGTGGGGTGTTCCCGTTATGTAGTGTATAGCACCTACCAAACGTTGTGCAAGGAAGGAAAACCAGTGAACGGGGTGGGGGTGGGGAGCGAAGGCTAGTCTCAGGTGCAATCACACAGAAGAGCTGCTGTAGCTCAAAAAACTTAATGCTGGCCATGGTAAATTGGTGTCAGAACACACAGTGCATCACTTGTGGGGCTGCATAGCCACAGAACAGTAAATCTTCCCTTGATGAGCTTTGTCCAGAACTGAAAGCTCCTTTATCAGAACTGGACCATGGAGCAATGGAAGAAGTTTACCTGATCACATTTTCTTTTAAACCAGGTGGATGGCTGTATGCGTGTGCATCTTTTAGCTGGGGAAGAGATGGCAGCAGGGTAATCTGTGGGGAAAAGGCAGTCCAGCAGAGGCAGTGTTATTCTCTGGGCAATGTTCTGCTGGGAAACCTTGGGTCCTGGCATTCTTGTGGATAATAATTTGACATGTACCACCTACCTAGAGACTATTGCAGACCACATACACCTATTCATGATGGTGGTGTTACCTAATGGCAATGGCCTCTTTCAGCGGGATAATACACGCTGCTACTGTGCAAAAAATGTTCAGGAATGGTTTGAGGAACACGACCAAGAGATTAAGGTGTTGCTTTGGCCTCTAAATTCACCAGATCTCAATCCAATTGAGCATCCTTGGAATGGGCTGGAACAACAAATCTGATCCAGGGAGGCCCCACCTCTCACCTCCGGCTTTAGTGATATAGGACTTAAAGAATCTGATGCTAATGTCTTGGTGCCAGATACCACATGCATTTGGAGTCCATGCCTCCGTGCATCAGAACGGTATGGGCAGCACAAGGGGGACCTACATGATTTTAGGCAGGTGATTTTAATCTTGTGGCTGATCAGTTTATATGTTAAATACCAGGTGCTACCACACTTTGTGTTCCCCTATAACCACCCGATACAAAGCTAAACATGTGAATAAATGTGACAAATAGTGCAAATCACACAACACCAAACATCAACACCAAATATGATGATCTTAGCCAAGGGGTTGGAGGCAGTCACAGGTGTTTGGCGCGGTGCTGGAAAAAAATGCAAGTTCAATACCTTTTTAAAGAGTGCTGGGAGCACTGTAGGGTCATTAATACACATTTGTATACTAACAATATAGTGTTCATTTAAATTTAAAGGAACACTCCAAGCACTATAACCACTACAGCATCCTAGTGCATTGTAAGTATTCAAAATGTCAAAATAGCATGTCTTCTGTGTGACTCGAAGGCCTCTATGTTGAGCTAAACCCAGTTGTGCAGAGTTTAGATTTGTTATTTGAGCGTAATTAGATGATGCTCTCAGCAATTGAGCTGTTCCCGAGCTTCAGGGTGTTGCTCAAGAGAGCAAATGTGCATGAGCTTCCGAATTTCAGTGCAGAAAGTGACTGGTGCCCGGCAGAACCCAGGTAATATGTAAACATTTTATCAATTTGAATACTTATATTGGGGGCTCCAGGCCACTCCTGGCACTCTGTAGCGGGAATAGTGTTTGTAGGGTTACTTTTTAGGGACATTTTACTACCCAGATCCAAATATATAAAAGCACCTACATTCCAAAAATGTATATATTTAATTATGCATTTTTTCAATGGGGTTATAGCTAAAAGTGCTTATGAAAGTTGCAGATCTATTTTCTGAAGCCTGTGCAAGCCATTCCCTTTTTCTGTGGCTGTCCAATCACTGACTTCAAAATGCAGCTCAATGAGAAGTTTTTGAAACGCAGGTGTTCTAAGCAATTGTCTTCCTCTTGACACTTTTTGTAAAATTCGAAAAAGAGAAAACTTGTCACACATAAATCATTTTAAAAAAGCTACATTGTTTTAGGTGAATGGAGAGTTCCTTTAGTTAGTGTCCCCATAGATGATCTAAAAGTTATGAATTCCGTGTCAACTGTAGATTTCCAGAGTATTACATTCCCAAACACCTAGTGGAGATACTGAATAATTCCCTAAAGGTTAGGAAGCAGACGGGCCCCACTGCATCAAGACTTGGAAGTTAGAAGATAAGAGTAAGCAGAACTTAGAAGTGACATAAAATACATTTAACACAAACTCAAGCTATTACCTTTTGATTCTGTATTGATTTTTTTTTTTCTTCAGTTTTGGTTCTATTACATGCCATTAGCACCAAGGCTAGATTTGTCCACGAGGTTCAGTCTGTACCACTGGTGCACTCTTAGAAAAGAAATATACCTAGGCAACTGATGAATTGGTGGGTTTTTTTTTGGTTTGTTTGTTTGTTTTAAATCACTTACTCTTATAAGAATGTGTGCTGTAACGACAATGTAAAAGTATTCTTTACACACACATTGAAAAAAAGAGAGAGCCATGTGTTAACAAAAGTCTAGAAAGGTTTCCTTATTGAATAAAAGCACCAACTTTGGCTTGTTAAACCACTGAAACTCTGTGTAAAGATATAGCAATCAAAGCATAATCCTGTATCGTAATATGTGTTATTCCTACACTTCTAGCTCTTCCGTCGTGTAGCTGCTGCTCTGCCTGGGATGGACAGTACACCAGAGAAGAGCAAAGAGGATAGTATCCTTTATCAATTAAACAGTGGGCCCTGTGCATTAATGGAACAAAGTAAGCCATCCATGCTTCTCTTATTTTAACAGGACACATGCTGCTAATAACATGGAATGCAAATTGCCCATTGGGGTCTAAATTTAAGTTTTCACAGCTTAGCATTGCATTGTACAGCAGAAACAATGTTTAAAAATGGCTTTAACCTAAAAAACCTGTTGTGAATATATCAGTCACTCGCACAGTTAAGTGCTCTTCTATGATGTAAATAACACACAGGGAATTTGTGTAGTTATTTAGAAAAGGCTAGGTAAATTTTGAATATTCATTATTTGTCTGCTAATGTATTGGCTATTTTTTTTTTTTATTCTTGTTTCAGATTTATTTTATTAACTATTCTATTTTACTAATGGAGAGGAGTTGAGATGCTGTGCAATGTTAGATAAACTAATGAAATGATGAACTAGCGGGTTGGGATGATGAGAAATGAGGGATAATTAAAAAGGGAAGTGTTCTTACAAGGTACAGATATGGCAGTGTGTCTGAGTGCATGCAGGGAATGATAAATGATGCACCAGGTTACAATCAATAGAAATTTAATAAAATTAAATTGTGGAAAAGAATCTAAGGTGATATGTGATGATAAAAAGTACCAGAAAATGTTTTCATCTTATTCAATTATAAGTTATGTTGACATCCACAAATGTAACATAAAACCAAAAAACAAAGTGAATAAGTAGTGTTGACCTTTAAGATACTAGTTTAAATGCATTAAGGAAAATAATTTTAAAATGACCAGGCTTGAAAACAACAACAAAAAACAATTGCACATTTTTAAAACTCGCTTATTAGCACTTATCTGTAAATGGAGTCCTTTTGGATAGTGAAAAATGTACCTAGACTGTTGCCAAATCTTTGTCAGTGAGTGCTGTAAATAGCATGACCTTGCTATTGGCAGTTTGTTGGCTGCCCTGAGTCAAAGGTGTGCAATACATGTAGGGTTAGGTTTGAAAAACTTCATTTGTTAAAATTATTATTTTTTCCCAGGTGTATCCTAGCGTGGTGCCAAGCCTCCTTTAATGTCAGCTGTATGACATAAAAATTCTAAGCTCTGCAGAAGCCAAATGTCTGTCCTTCATTGGCTGAGCGCTCTCTGCCAATGAATGAGTGTTTGTGGAAGGAATATCCACAGAATTTACATTGGCTATCCCTGAACTCCTTTTACAGGCTGGCAAATGACACTGCCGGGGATGTAAATCCAATATAAATAGTAAAGCATGTCCAAATTTTTCATATATAGTTTCAGGTAGGGTTAAGCTTTTTGGCCAAATCTCTCTTCTTTTTGTCGTGATAAATTGTGGGAACAAGTGGATGTATACGTAAAACATAGTCCAAATCAGGAAGCATTGTTAATGGAAGTACATTTAGTTTAATACATTTCTAGTGATTTCTGTAGCAAAATAATCTGAATACATTTTAAAAATGTAAAATAAGTGGATCAGGGTGATATTTAAAGTCTTCTCTACATATTCCTGTTTTCCTTCACAATACTTTCTCCTCCAGTGATTGATATCAAGCTAGAGAAGCCACCTGAGCAGCCTGTAACGGAGAGCGGCTGCTCTTGCTAACATCCTTGGGTTTCCCATGGTATGCCTCGGAGATCCTGACTGCTGTCCCAATGCATCAGAAAGGAAAGCAAAGCGTCTCTATTTATCTCTTAGATTCCCAGTGTGTGGATGCAGTGTGTGCTCCATCATCTAATAAGGGGAGAGGGTGGCACAGTGACTAAACACAGCCTCCCTCACCTCACTCAAACTGCATGGTGTCGTGTACGGTTGGAGAATAAGAATTTTACGTTTGTATAGTTTTTATTTCTTGCACTGTGGGCGCTCAAATTGGTGCCCTTTCAATTCTCTCAATGTGACAAACTTTATTGAAAAGTTGTGCTGACATGTTCTCGTTTGTTACTGTGAATGCACCAGGATGCAGCCATGTTTGCAGGAAGCTGAAACTCTGCTTGTTCAGGTTAACCCTTTCCCTCCAAGAATGTTGATGTGAAGTGGGAAGCACTCACGCCAAGAATTTAGATGCAGGGCTCTAACTATGAAGGAGTTAAGATTTCTGCCAAAATCCTTTTGTTTGTAATATTGTTCTAGTGCTTTATTTTACCACTGACAGCACAAATGTCAACACCCCCACCTACACCCAACCCCATTATTTATATTTTTCATAAACTTTTTACAAATAATACCAGTCTTGTACTTAACATGCTACTGCTTTTTGCACTTTCGCCCTATCCATGCACTCTGTTATGTTGGGTAGTTTTGCAGCAGGTTACCTACCTACTGCATATGTTCTATGTATGTGGCGCACACCACTCTCAAAGGGCAGTGGTTAAACAAGCTTGTTATTCAAGCCGCATGAAAGATAATGATCTTCTTTCCAAAATGCCTATAACTATTGAATAGGGTTAGTAGTAGCAAACCTCCTATCCTATGTTTACTCGGTATTCCTTTGTCTAATTGCTTAAGCCTACTTGTGGAGTTTCAAATTTTAGAAGCAATATGTTGTTTCTACAGCTTTGGAGTTGAAAAAGTTTAAAATTAACTTGATATGAATCTTTATTGGCCATGCCTTTTCAGAATGACTGTCGGGTACACAATCAGGCCTTTTTATCTGAAGTGCCATAACTGTATTGGTGTGCCTGCTGATAGCATGATTTCATTTTTTTAAATTTTTTTTTTATTATTTTTTTTTTTTTTTTAAAGGGTGTGCAAAACGGGAAGAAATATGTGGAAAGATCTGTGCAGTTCTGGATGTTATCTACTGTATTTCTTCCTCTTATTTTGTGGGCTGATAAAAAGCAAACCTTTGAACTGAGCGAATGACTCATTCTAGGCTGTGCACACCTGTCTTCTACTCCTCCCTGTGCTCCTGTATACTCCCTGTGCTGCATCCTGGTAGTCACGTCACTGTTTCTTTGTATACAGGGTGGGCCTTTACTCGAGGCCAGAGCCTCTGATCAGTCAGTTGTATCGTTATTGCAAATCTCTGGATTGTAAAAGAAGAAAAAAATAAATATTGATAATGGATAAATTATATAGTGAAAATGTTCTCTCCACTTGAATAATCCTTGGATGTCTTATATTGCGTATCTACCCCATATTACCTCTTCATAGCTGTTATCTAAGTAGGTGTGAATATGACTGAGTATCTACTATATGAACACAGCTGTGTCACTAAATAAAATCTTCTCCTATCCATTTTGTTTCATCTCCTTTTCTTTCTATTTTATTCTGTTAAATCTGGAATATAGTCTGGGTTTGGTTTGTTTGGCTCCTTTATAACTTGGCTTTACTAAATTAAATTTTTTAGGATTTCAAATTTGCCAGAAACAGTAGATTTGTCAGTAAATGTAATGACAGATGACTTGCTGTCTTATTTTTATAGGTTTTTGGATAAAGTCTCATGAACAATTCCAACTCATAATTTTTTTTTGGGGGGGGGTCTTAAATCTTACCCTTGTGTTGGAATTGTATATTCATTATCAACATAATTTGGAAAACGTGTCTTCAAGTGGTTACAGCTCAAATATAGAATTGATAACTTTTCCACTACTGACTGATTCATATGGATTTTATGGTTGAAAGTATTAAGCATTATAACAAAACCCTATGTTTGCAAGGCAAAGAGCATGACTATGCATTGAAGTAAAAGTAAATACATACTATGGAAACAGGATAAGCATAATGTTCATTAAACTGAAGTAAACCACACAAATACCTCCTGGAAAAATCGAGTCAGATACATGTTTTCATGTTGGAACAGCCTCACAGAGTTGGTCAGTAAATTTGGAAATGTTTAACCAAAATAGCCTGAATTGGAAAAATATCCTGATAGTTTTCCAGCTCAGCAGTTGTGTCTTAAAATGTACAATACCCATGTCAATTCACCAATTCTTTATAACCTTGCTAGTTATTGTAACCTGCATTATATGCTGTTGACATAGCCATTTTGCAGGTATAAAATGCTGTATTGCCATAACAATTGAAGAATGCAAGACATTGGATGTTAATAAGTCTTCTGAAAAGTGACAGTTAACGTCCGTCATTATTTTAATAAATGTAGCAAAGTGATCTGAAAAGTGATGGTTTGCTTTATAATAAATTCCGCTAGTTTTTGCATTTATTTCTATTTGTGAAGATCGCCAAATTTAGTGGTGAGATAAATGCTTCACTATGTGAAAAGGAGCTGGAAATGGTGAAATTGAAATGTCTTCCTTTTTGAGTTTTATAGAATATCATAATAGAATTTAATTTTAAGGAATAATGGTGAATTGCTGGGGACAGACTGAACCGCTTTGGAAACCATTTTCAGCCAGGTATGATATAATTTCCAAATTCTCTAAAACAACCGAATATGAAGGAAAATACAAAGTGGGTCTTACTGTTGATATCCACAATGCTGGATATTGAGAGCTTTATTTACAATTTAGCATTAGATATTTAGAATACCACATTTGATAATGTCTTCTTCTTAAGGACTGCTTTGGTTAAAAAAAATATAAAAAAAAAAAATAAAGCTATATCTATAGACTTATAGATATCACAAGTTTGTGCTGGAACTCGCAAAAAGAGTATTCTCCAGGAAAGCACTTGAAGAACAAGTCGGCACATTCAACTACTATTCCCACAGTGTAGCAGTCCTCTTTATCAGATTAAAAAACAAAAACCTTTTCACACTGGTTGTCGGTGAGCTTACTTATGCTTATTAGTGCACTGGAAACAACATGAAATGGATTTCTGCTACACACTCATATAATGATTAGGAGCACTAGTCAACACTCCTATTCCAAATGAAGGTCCGAGTACTGCAGCTCATTGAAAAACATGGAAAAGACGAGAATACGGGCGCACAAATCCTGCACACATGCTTCTCAATCAAACTTTTGGCAATTTAATCTAATTGAAGTTGTTCGGTAAATACGTTCCCAGTTTTTTTATGTAAATTTAAATTGATTTATTTTTTATTTATTTTTTTGGGAGTGGTATATCGGCATACATGCAAAACATTGTCCATTAGAGACAAGTATGTTAGCACAGTTTTCAAAGAAAAAAAAAAAATATACGTACAGATATAATGGCCACTCGTTTTTTGAGTAATGTAGCATATACAACAATAAAGCTGGCATCATATTATATAAGAGGTTGCAGGTAAAATGGTATGTTGGAACCGTTAGGGTGGTGACATATTAAACTAACCACATAGAAGACAGTTATATGGAAAATTATATTGTGATGGATTCATTGCTAAAATGCTGGTATGCTAGATGTATTGGTATCTACATTGCAGATCAAAAAAAACCAACAGCGTTCTAAAACTAGGGTGAGGTGTCCTGGTATGGATAGGGTAGAAAGGTAGGATGCCTGGGAGCCCTTGGTCACAAAGCTATGATGAGCCCTTTTCCCGAAGGCGGTAGGTATCTGAATGGTTAGAGGTTCATGTTGATAGGGACTCAGGTGCCATGGAGACCACAACACCACCAAATCGTCGTTGACCACCTTATGTAACTGATTAAGTAGTTTTCTGACCTGATGGTTTGGGAACCATAGTCTCCGTTATAGTTCACTCTCACTGAGAAAGCACGTCTGTCAGTCGGGCTGGGTACAGGAGACGTTCTCCTATACCGAGGTGCGCACTGCTCTGCTAGGCCATGCTACCAGGAGACACAGCGGGGACCAAGGAGGGGGAGAGAGAGGGATGATAAGGGACGGGGGACAACACTATGGGACCGCTGGGGGATTGTTAAGCATCACTATGGGACGGCGGGTGGGGGTGGTAAGGAACACTATGTAAGGGGGTGTGGTAAGGAACATTATGGGACAGGGAAAGAGGTGAAGAACACTAGGGACGAGAGAGGAACATAAAGGGAGGAAACACACACACACACTGCATTTTTCTAATCAAATACTGCATTCACTACACACACACAAATATTCTTAACAAAAAAATCTGACTGGCATGTATATTTTATGCATGTAACACTTAATAAAAAATTGCAAAAAATAAATGTTTAATGTATAGAATATCGGTATCGGCTCTAAAAAAAATCAACATCAGTCGATTCCCTAGCCTTCAGTCAGTGAAGCTTTGACCAAAAGTCTGCAAATCGGTCTAAATTAGTGTAGGAGACATCAGACCATGTCAGAAACAACCATGGCATCTTCCACGTTAGGAGGGATGGTATATTGATGTACTTGCTCACCAAAATGTTCTGCAGGTCCCAATATCTTCAGCAACTATAATATAGTAGGAGTGCCATAATATTCTTAGGCTCTGGGGAACTAAATGCAGGGAGTTCAGCTGCTCCTCCTGTGTTCATTCTGCTGCAAAGGCCGTAGATCTGCCTAGCCATCAAAAGTCTCCATGCTGCAATAACTCTCCACTTGATCTATGATGGAGAAGCTATGTATATAGCCCAGAAATATTGATGAATGAATGTTGAAGTCCTAAGTCAGCTGTTTTTACAGAATGGCAGTACAACCTCCCCACCCCAAAAATGTTTTATTCTTTTTTTTATAGGGCTTGAAAGTGTGGCTTGTAGATATGCTCCCAAGCCCCCCAATTCGTAGAGCCTTCAATTAAAGGGACACTATAGTCACCATTACAACTTTAGCTTATTGAAGCAGTTTTGGTGTGTAGATCATTTCCCTGCAGTGTCACCGCTCAATTCTCTGCCATTTAGGAGTTAAATCACTTTATTAATGCACCCTAGTTGCACCTCCCTGCATGTGACTTGCACAGCCTTCCTAAATACTTCCTGTAAAGAGTCAGCTAATGTTAACACTTCCTTCATTGCAAATTCTATTTAATTTAAAATGTAGTATCCCATGCACTGTTAATAGCTAGCTAGACCCCAGAGAAGCATCATGTGTATGATTAAAGTTCACTTCAGAGAGCAGGCAATAAGAACCTTTAAAGCAAGTTACATCTAATTGAAAGTGTAACCAATTTTTTTTTTTTTTTTTTATGCATGGTGTGTGAGTCACAGCCAGGAGAGGTGTGACTAGGGCTGCATGGACAGAACCAAAAGGGATTTAACTCCTAAATTGCAGAGACTTGAGCTGTTTCCTTAAGCTAAAGTTGTTTTCGTGACTATAGTGTCCCTTTAAATTTCCTTTGTTGTGCACCCAATTTTACCATGGAGGTGTGCTGATGTCGATGTGATTTGGCTGGTGCTTTTTCTGTCTTTATAATAAAGCATTGGACTGGACTGTTTGTTCGGTGACCTCATGGCATCAGAGGGGGTGGAGCAGAGTGCCATGAGAAGGCTGCTGATGGTGCTGGAATACAGGTAAGCTATTTATCTTGTGCATTATTTAAAATTTTTACTGTAATTATACAATACATATTTGTGACAAAGGACTTATTGTAAAATAAATGAACTTAAATAGTAGTGTTCCTTTAACACCATGTTCTCAACCCTAGACCACATGAGACATCATACCTTGTTCAGCACCGTAATTCAATAAATACATGTGTTAAGGAAACAGCCAATTTTTTTATTTTTTTTCAATTCTTTATTTTTGTAGGGCAGTGACATATATATATATATATATATATATATCTTTGTATTGACCTTTAACATTAGCAGTGGCTGTGCAGATATGACATGTCAAGATGAACTGCACAATTTTAAGATATCAAAATTAAAGAAAAATACACACAAGAGAAAACAAAATAAGCATGCATTGATAACACTTCAAAGCAGATATACTGCCAGTAATAAATGCAAGAGTAACAGATGGTGTTTCTGCAGGGTAACTCAGTTGGGTAAACAAAAAGAATAAAATAAATCAGGCTTGTGATTATTACTGGAATAGTGCCCAATGATTGTGGCATGCAGAGTAGATTAGTAGGGGACATTGCGTTAATAAATGACCATTGAGAAATAGGGTGAGTCGTGAATATAGAGAGACCCACAAAATTGGGTATAGTGTCCCAATGAGTGCACCTCTGCCCTCTGTTGCTTTCAGCCGACACCCTGTGTTGGTAAGGCAGGGACCCTCAAAGGAGATTGAGGCAGAAGATCTTCAGGCACTCGATCCGGTAAGCCTTCTAGCTGTACACCACATCGCGGCTCTGACTGAGCTATTCTCACAATGGAGAGAATGCTTTGTGATGGCACGGTAACTCTTCTGGCATCGCCGACAAGATTGTCGGTTCCGAGGTAACCGGATAGGAGTGTCTGCGGTTGGTTGCTTAGGCCTTTAACGCCATATCGGACCCTCTTCAAGCTTGGGAGACATTTCCTCCAGGAAGACTCGATCTTCCTGAGACCGCTGAGGAAGGTCTGCGGGTACCTGATTGCTAGTCAGGTTTCATGTTCTGCTGGCCAGGAAGGCATTAAAGAGGTTATCAAGCTTGGTCAGAATAGGAGCTGCTGCCCAATTGACACTAGGCATCCACCATCTTGGGCAGATCAACTCGTCCTGATATGCGCCCAATAAAGCCACAGGGATCAGCTGCCTCCCATCACCTCCAGCAACAGGTAGGCCGCAGGCATATCCACTGTGGGTATCCCCACGACTAAACAGGAGGGCTATGCTGCTCCCACAAGCAATGAGGAACCTGTGGCAACGTCCAGCTTAACATTTGTGAGCCACGAGTCCATAAAGTGGGTCATATACAAGATTCTGCACGGAGCCCAAGCAACGTGCGACCGCTCAGCCTGGCAGTTGGGCCCCGCCCAGAGGAAACAGACATTTTTAAGAGGTTTGACTCCACCATCTGATGCTGTTAATCAATGACAGTCCTAGAAGACAGGGGGAGGGTTGCAAACCTTATGACAGGCATAACATGTTTTATTTTATAATACACATTTCTACTAGGTTATACCATTATTTTACAATAAGGTGATTTTTTTTTTTCTTCCCAGGGTGCTGCTTAATCTGTTCCCTATGGACCAGTCTACACTGCTACTTGTCTTACTAATTCAAACCTTTTGTAGGCTTGTTGCCTGAGGCATAATCATTTTTATTATCCTGTATTCAATCTGAAAAGTGAAGGGGAAAATAAA